CTATCCGGAAGAAGATCTTTCGCCTGCTGTCTGAACAGAGGGCGACGTACATCTCGTTCTCGCAGGCCCTGGTCGAGGTGCTCACCAACCACAAATATTTGTGGAACGATGCTCGCACTTCAGCGACTCTCTCGAAGATGGAACAGAACCGCCAGCAGCTCGCGAATAACCCTGATCAGGTCAAGGAGGATGAAGTTCCTCCTCCTCCCCACACCCCGTTCAAAAGGCCTCGGGGCGGAGGGAAGAAGAAGAAGCGACTGCAGACTCCTTCGAAGGACGATCCGCCGAAGAAGGTCGTTAAGGAAGATCCCAACAAGAAGCTCAAGCGGGACAATCGGATCCCAGAGAAGGAGTGGAAGCTCATCGCCGATGCGGCCAAGAAGGTGCAGGGCGCTCGCCGGTGCCACTACTTCAACTCCTCGCTCGGGTGCGTGTCTGGCGACAACTGTCGTTTCAAGCACCTGTGCATGGTCTGTGGGGAGCCGCATGCCATGATCGGCAACCACTGATCGGTTCCCAGCGAATCTGATAGTGCTCCTCACCTTACCTTGTCCGGCGCGCGTGGGGGCTGTGATCTGGAATCCCGCGCACAAGATCTCCTGAAAAAGCGAGCTCCGCTTCTGCGTGAGGAGATCCTCGACTTGGCTACAGAGCTCCCTGTTCAGGGTCAGCATAAGGCTGCCGACGAACGAGGCGGGGCTTTCTTCGCGGGAGCCTATCGCCATGGAGGCATCACAAGACTGCGATCGTCCTGTCACTCATGGCCGTGGTCGATCAAGGCGATCACCACGTACATCGCTCAACAGGCTCCTGAGGCGCTCTTCACGTCGTTCGCCGTCCTCTACGATCAGGAGGCCGAACCTCACCGTGACTCGGGCAATGAGCCGATCCCGAACATTGTCTTCAAGCTCGGGTCGTTTGAAGGAGGCGGGCTCTGGATCGAAGACCCGCTCGGGCCCGATGTGAGAGAAATCGAGGGACGCTCCATCCCCGGTTTCCTCACCGACTTCGTCGACAATAAGATCCTCTTCAACGCTAAGGAAGCTCTGCACGCGACTCTGCCCTGGATCGGAACTCGGGTGGTCCTCGCCGTGTACTCAGTGCAGGGGGTCGATCGGATCCCTGCCGACGAGTTCGAACAACTCCTTCAGTTGGGCTTCCAGCCGGCGCCGGTGAACACAGGTGATCACGTGGATCAGTCCTGGCAAACTCTCACTTTTGCGCTCGAGACCCCGGACTCCGATCGGAAGCGGCCCCATGGCGCCCCGGTCAAAGCCGCGGAACATCGTCAACGATCGGCCGGCAAGAAGGCCGTCGCCGCGGGTTACCAGATGAAGAAGTCTGTCGTGGCTCCGCTGATCGGCACGGAGATGCACCCGGGTGAAGCGATCGCTTTCGCCTTGGAAGCTACGCACCCGTTCACAAAGGACGCGGATATCGACCCAGACCTCCTTGATGTTCTGGAGCAAATTGTTCGTGATCCTGCTCAAGTGCGCGATCGTCGAGCCTCTCTTCTGCAGCATTGGGAACGGCGAGCTCAGGATCTGCTCCCGTCCTCTGACTCCTTGCTCAAGCAGATACCAGATCGGCATTTGCGCCGTCTTCTTCGCGGCGGCCCAGACGATCGTCCACTGGAAATGGGTCAGTTCTTCCACGTCGCCCTTTGGCGGGAGCTCATGAATGAGGCCAAATGCAGTGACACTGACCTGGTAGATCAGATCATGGCGGGCATGCCGATCGTCGGCGATATTGCCTCCTCCCACCGATGGAAGCCCGATCGCAAACCTCATGCGGAGCATCTCTCGGTTGATGCCCTTCGCTCGAGGGCCTGGGAATTTCGATCGAAGGTGTTAGGCGCGATTCGGAAATCTCCGATCACCGAGCACTCTCCCAAGGTCTGGGAAGGGACCATGGAAGATGTTCGAGAAGGGTCGGCGATCGGTCCCTTCTTCGACGAGGCCGAAGTCTCGGAGTTCGTCGGCGATGATCGTTGGATCCCTACTCAGCGCTTTGAAGTGGTTCAAAAGAACAAAGTCAGGGGAGTTGACAGTGCTACCTCAAATGGGATCAACATGGCGACGATCGTCACCGAGAAACTCGAACTCCCCTCGACGGACGCGAACGTGGCGGTGATCAAGTGGCTGCGCTCGCGGCTGCCGAAGTCCCCGCTACGTGGTTGGGTCCTGGACGAGCGGCGAGCCTATCGGCAGGTGCCGATCTCTCCGGCCCATCGCAAGTGGAGTGTGGTCGCTCTGAAGGATCCGGCCACGGGAAAGGTGGCGTTCTTCGTGATGGTCGGCCACTCCTTCGGCTTGGTCTCGGCCGTCTATAACTACAACCGCCGCTCGGCTGCGATTACCGACATTCTAAGGCGCGTGTTCATCGTGGCCGGCTTCAACTTCTATGACGACAAGTACGGCTTCGAGCCGGAGGCCACGGCAGATAGTGTGTTCGCGCTGGCCGAGAAGGTCCATTGGTGGCTCGGGGCCCGGTTCGATCAGCAGAAGCTCCAGCTCTGCTCGGATCCCACGATCCTGGGCGTGACCTATGACCTCGATCAGTACTTGCTCAAGATCAAGAAGTCCAGGAAGCAGGAGCTCTTCGACGAGATCTCGTCGATCCTGGAACACGAAGAGATGTCTCCCGGCCAAGCCGGGAAGCTCAGAGGAAAGCTGATGTTCGGCGCTTCGCAGCTCTGGGGGAAGATCGGCCGAGCCTTCCTGAGATCTCTGTCGGAGAGGCAATACTCCCGGAAGACGGTCAGTACGAGCCTATCGCCTGCTCTCCTCTACTCCCTCTACAAGTGGCGGACGCTCGTGATGCATGGGCCTCCGAGGCCTATCCCCAGTTCGGGGCCGCGGAAGTCCGACGTGGTGATTTTCACGGATGGATCGGCGCCGAGCTCGAACCCCAAGGATCCCTCTTCTGAGATGATTGGAGGAGTGATGTTCACTAGGGACGATCAGCCTAGGCAATTCGCCTCGGGGGTGTCACGGCAGATCATGTCGAGGTGGTTCCCCCGGAAAACCCAAATTTGCATGATCGAACTTTTGGCCGCGGTCGCTGCGATACAGACTTTCAGGGAAGAGATCCGTGGAAAGCTGGTCCTCCTCTTTATCGATTCCGAGCCTGTAGAGGCAGCTTTGATCAAAGGCTACTCTGCAAAAGAGGACGTCTGCGAGCTCGTAGGAATTTTCTGGGAGCTTGTTCTGGAGCTTAGGTGCTCTGTTTATATCGATCGGGTACCGACCGATTCGAACCCGGCGGATAATCCCTCTCGTGGTGATGTCGCTACAGGTCTGATGTGTGGTTGGATCACTGTCCTCTCGGACTTTCCGAAAGGAGTTTGAGGGCCTGGGAATATCGCTTGTCTGATGTGTCCGATCGGATGATGTTGCGGTCTGTGGCGAATGCCATGGCGCACCCCTCGGCGATCGGGGGTCCGATCGGACTTGTGAAGATCAAGTGAAATTTTGATGATCCGACTGTGGCCGACTCCCACGTTGCGGTCGCATGAAAAAGGTGCGATCGCCGATAGTCTGTTCAGTGAGGGCACCGAACGTCTGCGATCGTAGTAACTGGTCTCCTAATTATCGGTCTGGTGGGTAGGAATTAGGAGATCAGTTTCGCGATCGTTGGAACAGACTTGATCTATCTTCTCCGTGGCCATTTTGGCGATAGCCGATCGGGCCATACCGAAAAATCCCACCCTCTCCACCCTATCTGTTCTTTTCGGTATGCGGGATCCTCGCAACGACGTTGGCCTTCAAGCGCTCGCTTTCGGCGACACAGATCAGCTCTGCCGTCCCTGCGTGGATTGCGGCCTGTTCACCGGCTGCTTCTGCGACGGGGACGGCCAAGACGAATGTTACGCAGCCGTTCGGGTCCCCCGCGAAGAGTGGGCCCCCAACCAGCGCACTCCTTTGTGCACGGCTTGCGATCGTCGCCTGGATATGTGTCATTTCTGCCGAAACCCCCTGGGTCACGCCGCCGGCTCATCGTGATCGCGATCGTCACCAGCCGGCCGGCTACAATCACGGGGCAGATCCTCCCCTCAACTGGGATCAAGTGATGGGCGTGCCCTCTGTTCAGCGGCCGGTGCCCAAAGCGCCCCCGGCCAGAGCTCATCGAAACAGAGGCATGGATCAGCCGGTCTACTATGTGGATCCCAAGGCTGGTCTGCCGCGCCAAGGCCGAGCGGCTCCGAAAGGGCGTTCTCCTTTGTTCGCCGAGCCTGCTCAGTACATAGTTCCAGGGCAGCCCCCCAGATCGCTCGACACGGTGCCCGATGATGTCCGCATCAGCGGACCGGCTCACTATGTCATTCCGGGGCAGCCCCCGCGGCGGCTAGATCAGCTCCCGCCCGGTACGCAGCTCCCTCCCGGCACCGAGATCATGGTGTCTACGAGGAGCTCGAGTCCGCCGACCAAGGCGCCCCCGACTCCCGCCCAGATCGCGGCGTACCAGGCTTCTCGCGCTACTCCCGCTCGGACGAGAGCCAAAGCTGCTCCTGATGCAGCTTTTCGTGCCGCCGAGCGGCAGTTGATTGACTTGCTCGGCGCGGCCCCCCTCGACGATGATCCAATGGAGGAGCCGTCGCCGGAGCCCGATGATCCGATCGAAGACTTTTAATTTTGTTCGCGGGGAATATCGCTTGTCTGATGTGTCCGATCGGATGATGTTGCGGTCTGTGGCGAATGCCATGGCGCACCCCTCGGCGATCGGGGGTCCGATCGGACTTGTGAAGATCAAGTGAAATTTTGATGATCCGACTGTGGCCGACTCCCACGTTGCGGTCGCATGAAAAAGGTGCGATCGCCGATAGTCTGTTCAGTGAGGGCACCGAACGTCTGCGATCGTAGTAACTGATATATATATATGTATACATACACTTTTTATATTGCTATGTATTGTTATATTTTCTAGTATCTGATGTGCTTTACATTATATCGTTTTGTCTCGTGTTACCTGTGGCAACAGCAAAAATCCCTGGACTTCAGGAAGCATGTTGTCTTCGGAGAAGTCTTCAGCGGGTTGGACTTGCGAGGACCTTAGACAGGTTGCGCCCTACCAACAGCTCTCACGAGTAATTCTGCTTGAGATTGGACGAGCTGGAGAAGCTCGAGACCAACGAGGAATGCAGGCAGCAAGTTGCAGAGAAACGCGTCTGATCTGTCGACCGGCAGATTTTGGGGAGGCCCTTGGTGGATTGCATTGTCGTGGACTGCGGTGCCGATCAGCGTCGCATCACGGAAGGCACTGAGCACTCAGCCAAGAACTCTATCGAAATGCTGGAACCTGGAGGCTAGCCACCCAACAGCCCAGTCGAGCGCCCAAAGATGGTCTTGCAGGTTTGAAAAGAGTTTGCACCGAATGCTATGCCTGATACGCACATCCTGGATCAGCATCCATGCCTGGCATTAGTCTTCATGAACAGTGTTCTGCTGTGAGGAGTTTTGCATTGTTGCGTGTTGGTCTGTCAGGGTCAAGGCCAGCAGTCACAGCGATGCGAGCCATGGCCTGTGACTCGTACTGTGCACGGATGCTGCGTCATCGGCCCAAACAGGTAGACAACATGCTGTCTGAATTGTACAGGACTGGGTTTTCAGTCTTCAGTGCAACACTAACCAACAAAGCAGACTGCTTCTTTGTCAGACATGCTTGCACATCTGTCAAAGTGGTAGATGTCAGAAGGATTCAGAAAACGGCAGCATTAGTCACATGCACTGTGCTGGTCGTCCGAGAGCAGAGAGCTGTTTTTGCTATGACAGTGCGAGCTGAGCAATGTCCTAGTAGCAGGATTGCCTTATAGTGGCGCAGAGGATGTGCATTGCACGGCTATGTCTGCAGAGGTGGCCCCAGCTGTCTAAGCTCAACGATTGGTAGTGATTGGTAGCGTTTGGGGAGCAGTCCTGCGAGTGAGCCGCTGTCGACGGATTCCGGGACATGATGGGTGCATCTTCGGCCTTGCAGCTTGGCTTGAGCGTCAACATCTGAATCGATGAGCACATCCTACCAGGGCTTCACGTCTGTAGCTCCCTGTAGCTCCCTGTTGATTTCATGAAATTCAGTGAAGCTCTCACGAGTTTGTAGCGGAAGTCGCGATGGCGGATCCGGAGCGAGAATGGGCCCGGGCCTCAGGCCCCTTGCTGCCGGGTTCCAGAAACCTGCAAGGTAAAACGTCTGGCGAAGTTTGTGTAAAGGCAGCGAGCCAGCCGACTTGGTCATCGCTTGAACTTCTGGATCATCATACGCTCTGGGACTGTGCGCGCGGAAGGACGCGGAAGGGCTGCGGAAGGCATTGCTCCGCGGAAGGGCGCGGAAGCAACAAATGCGTCCGAATACGTAAGCCGCCGTGTTGGAAATAACGAAGACTACGTCCGTCGAAGGAGACATACAGTATCCCGAGATCCCTAAGCCCAGCAATGAACCAGGCTGTTGGTGGCTTCATCATACATGTTGCCGCGCGTGCCGCATGTCAGGGAGATACGTCAAGTGGGGTTTATGCTCTTGCGGAAGGGTTCGTTTGCAAAACGGTCCGCGGAAGGGCACGCGGAAGGGACGACATACAATGATTCAGAACTGTGCCAACGCTTTGAGGCGCGGAGGCTGCGAAAGCAGCGGCAGAAGGGGTTTTTGCGTCCTTAGAATTGAAACAGATTAAAAAACACCGCTCACTTGGCTGAGGTGCCGCCTCCACGAATCGAAGAACTCTACGCAAGGACTGCAGTGAGCGTGCGGGAGGTTTGGTCAGGTGAACGGCTACGATGCGATTCTGGTATGGATGTTTGCAGGTGGGTAACCTCGGCTCCTCCCTCAAAACCGGGGAGCCCCAGGATCTCAAGTTTCAATCTCTGCGGCTTTCTTGTCAGATACCCCCTGTGCCGCGACAGAATGCATGAAACTTCAACTGGTACCTAGTGCTGGTGCTGGGGAGATCACTCCTGTGGCTTGATAAGGCTTGTTGAAAGTCCGAAATGGAGCCCATTACAGTGAAGGGCCAGATGCAGCAGGGTTTGGGGATTTGGCAGCTCTGCCTGGTGACTGTGCAGGACAGCTGGGAACCAGTTTGCCGGCATCAATCGCCCCACAAGTGGGCCACGGTATGAGGCACACAACTCTCTCGCTCCAGCTACGCGGAGATGTAGAATGATGCCTGATTGTCCGTCAACCTGTGTGAGGCAGACTTGGTGAAGGGTGCGGCTCCGCTGCAGCCTTCTTCTCAGTAGCAGTATACCCAGCATACGGTTGCGGGAAACGGCTAAGCCTGAGCTTGCTGCCAATGGCCGTGACACGCCGCGACGATGCCAGCAGATATCTAATGATACAAGCCGTGACTCAACAGTTTCAACGCCGCAATTTCAGGCAGCAGTGACACGGTAGAGTATGGCGGCATGGAGCATGTCCGCGTCCTCGCCGACGATCTGCGCGCGGTCAATGAGCATCGCAGGATGCCGTCAGATGTCAGCCGCTCTCGGCTCTTCAAAGCCCACTGCCTCTGCCGCCTTCGAGAAATAGTCGAAAGTTCCGCGATTGACTGCGGAGACTTCTTAGAGGTGCTCCACCGAGCAGAACGTGGTTTAATTGCAGATGCCCCCTGCGGGTTGAAGCTTACTCACCAGATAGATCAGGCCTTGGAGCGCTTCTCTGCTGATCTTCGGAGGCTTGAGGAAGAGGCTCTCGAGCGGGATCGCCGAAGGATGGCTGATTTGCCCTTCCAGAAGATAGTTGGCGCACAAGCTTCTCCCCACAGAAAACTGGTTACTGTCCGCATCCGGACCTTCAGCGGGGCAGAGTTTCAAGTCGGATGCTCCTCGGATCCATCATTGAACCATCAAAGACCGAGGACAAGTATGTAACAGTATGATATCTGCACATGTGCTGAATTGCTGCCGAAGTTTGGGTATGATGGATCTTCTGCCCTCAGGTGGCTTGGACGAGAACCTGATCTGCCTCAAACAATACATCCATGCAAGCGGTGGCCCACGAGCGCGAGACCAGCAACTGGTGTGGTCGCGCGGCGAACTTGCATGGATTCAAAGCCTGGAAACGCGAGCAAGTGATTCCTTCTCCTTGTTCTACCTGGGTATCACAGAAGCTTCGTGTTCTTGGAAGCCATTTTCAGCAGATTTCCATTGCAGCTAGTTGTGTTCGGCAGCTGCACGCACAAGCACGGCATGCCAAGCTTTCAGGGAAGAGTTCCAGTGCTAACTCAACGCAATATAATGTGACGCGGCTTTTGTAGCATCTGCTTCAGACTCGTTGAGGATGGGGATTCTGCGACCTTGTACTACGTGCGTTTCTGTCATCAATGCAGAGGCACTACAGGGGCTTGACAAACACGGCAGCCACCGCAGTAGCCATAAATGCAGGGTCGGGTGGGCTTGGGGACTCAGCTGAAGAGACACCGACGGGGGCACTCCTGTCATTTGTGACTCCCTAGGGTTTTGGGATATTTTTGAACGTTTGTCTTCAGGAACCTTGTTGTCCAACAGCCGACCAGGGAGTCACAAATGACAGGTGGTTCAACGGCTGAAAATGGAGACCCTTCCAGGGTTTTGGTACATGCCAGCACATGCACCGATTGCTTTCATTTTTGAAACGGAAAACTGGGAGTCACAAATGACTGTAGTCAGTTTGCCCAAATCTACAATATTTCCTAGGCGCGGTGCTCATTTTCAAGAAATCTTGGTTTTCCCTGGGTTTGGTGCATTTTCTCGCTGAAAATGCAGTTTTTCCTAGGCTTCGTGCACTTTCGCACGAAAGTAGTGTTTTTCCCGAGGAGAGGTGTATTTTTCGCACAACGCACAACCATATGCCTGCTTCCAATTCAGAATTATATATATATATATATATATATACATAATCAATTTAAAATATAATATATATATGTATTATATAGTATATATTATATAACCTATAATATATACTATATAATGTATAATATAAAATATAATATATATAATATATATAATATATATAATATATAATATATATATATATATATATATATATATATATATATATATATATATCATATATCATATATCATATATCATATATAATATTAAACAATATTAGATAATATATAGTATTTAATATATAGTATAAAATATACTACATAATACATAATACATAATGTGTTATGAGCGCATATATGTTTATATTTATATATATATATATACATATATGTATACATATAATACGCCTCTAGTACTGCTTAACAAACCCGCAACAAGGAGTGAATCCAGCAGGAACTTACTACCGAAGACAAAAACCCTAAGGAGCGAATCCAGCAGGAATCGTGTGCCGAAGATGGGCCTTTCGGCCTTTCAGCGCAGAATTTGAGGAGTGAATCCAGCAGGAGCCTATTAGCGAAGACAAAAACCCAAAAGAGTGAAGCCAGCAGGAACCTTTCGCCGAAGATGAAACCGTGTTGGGCGAATCCAAGAAAGCATTTCACCCAAGACGAAGACCCTAAGGAGTGAACCCAACGGGAACCTATTACCGAAGACAAAAACCCTAAGGAGTGAATCCAGCATGAACCTTTTGCGGAAGATGACGCTCAAAGGGGTGAATCCAAGAAGAACCTTTGACCCGAAAAACTCTGGGGTGAATCCAAGAAAACCTTTCACCCAAGACGAAGACCCTAAGGAGTGTACCCAGCAACATTCTTTTACCGAAAACGAAAAAACCCTAAGGAGTGAATCCAGCATGAACCTTTAGCCGAAGATGAAACCCTTAGGGGTGAATCTGAGAAGAACCTTTCACCCAAGACGAAGACAAAAAGGACGGAACCCAGCAGGAACCTTTTGCCCAAGGTGAGACCCTGTACCCTAAACCCTTACACCCCAATCCCTAAACCCTAAACCCCAGCAACATTCTATTACCGAAGACGCAAACCCTAAGGAGTGAATCCAGCATGAACCTTTAGCCGAAGATAGTGAACCCAGCAGGAGTGAATCCAAGAAGAACTTTTCACCCAAGACGAAGACCCTAAGGAGTGAACCCAGCAGGACCCAGTGCCGAAGACAAAAACCCAAAGGGGTGAATCCAAGAAGAACCGTTCACCCAAGACGAAGACCCTAAGGAGTGAACCCAGCAGGACCCAGGCCCTAAGGAGTGAACCCAGCAGGAACCTATTACCGAAGACGAAAACCCTAAGGAGTGAATCCAGCATGAACCTTTTGCCGAAGAGGAAATCCTAAGGGGTGAATCCAAGAAGAACCTTTCACCCAAGACGAAGACCCTAGACGAAGACCCTAAGGAATGCACCCAGCAGGAACCTTTAGCCGAAGATAGTGAACCCAGCAGGACCCAGTGCCGAAGACAAAAAACCCCTAAGGGTTGAATCCAACACCAACCTTTCACCCAAGACGAAGACTTTAAGGAGTGAACCCAGCAGGAACCTTTAGCCGAAGATGAAACCCTAAGGGGTGAATCCAAGAAAAACTTTTCACCCAAGACGAAGACCCCAAGGAGTGAACCCAGCAGGACCCAGTGCCGAAGACAAAAACCCAAAGGGCTGAATCCAAGAAGAACCGTTCACCCAAGACGAAGACCCTAAGGAGTGAACCCAGCAGGACCCAGGCCCTGAGGAGGACCCAGGCCCTAAGGAGTGAACCCAGCAGGAACCTATTACCGAAGACGAAGACCCTAAGGACTGAATCCAGCATGAACCTTTTGCCGAAGAGGGAATCCTAAGGGGTGAATCCAAGAAGAACCTTTCACCCAAGACGAAGACCTTAAGGAGTGCTCACAGATGACCAGAAGAAGGAAAAGTAAGGGAGTCACAGATGACCGGTGTTGCTGTGTGAAAACCACATTGACAAGCAAGGCAAAAGGGTCGGGAGTCACAGATGACAGGTGCTTGTTTGAGAGGAAATCACAGGCCTGCCCATGAATATGAGCACTTTCGGGTGAGGTGATGTGTGGTGATGGCAGGCGGAGGGAGTCACAAATGACGGGGATTTGCCTAGGCCAGACCCAGGAACCTAGGGAGTCACAAATGACAGAAATAGGGAGTCACAAATGACAGGAGTGCCCCGACGGGGGCCATTTCGGCGCCTGACTATTCAGGTTTTCCACATAAATATGAGGACGCATAGCTAGTTTGCACATGTTTGCACAGTGCCCCTGCTAGGCGCTTGCCGATGCGTGGAATGCCACGGTCGAGGATCCCGTAGCGCCTGTAGCGCTTGTGGACAAGTTCGCGCCAGCTGCCTGCAGTGCGCTGGGCCGTGCTCCGGCTGCACATAGAATCAGGGAATCAGGGTGCTTACTACTTGAGTGCTTGCTTGTGATGTTGTGCGTTGCACAGCTCCTGTCTTCGCAGGTGCGTCTGTCCGAACTGTCACGGGCAGGCGAGCTTGTGCGGTGGGATGTGCAAAGTGTGCGGAGAATCGAGTTTTGCATGTGATTCGTAGCGTTGATCTCATGCGCCTTCTCTAAAGGAGAGGGCTGCATGTTTCTGTAGAGTTCGCTCATGGTGACTCTTGGTATAGCCATGCTGGGCGTTCAGTTACCGCTGGCTTTCTAGTTATACTGGAGAGAACCTAGCATTGGTTCAGCTTCAGAATGTGAAAAGGGCGTAACTTGGGGCCTAGGTATGCTTAGATCTCACGGCCTTTCCCGAAGAAGTTGCGGTGCTCATCACATCTGACATCCAGCCGCCGAGTACCATGATCGGCGCAAGTCCACCAAGTCCTTGCGCTAAGACTCTGAGGCTGTATTCGCTCGCAACTCCCAACGGCTGGAAAGTGGGCATTCTTCTAGAGGCAGGCGGCATGCACATGGCCGGCGCTTGCATGGGCCCAACATGCTCGGTCGTTACCAGGAGCTCGGAGTGAGCTACGATGCCCACGTGGTCAACATAGGAGCCGTGTGCCGTCTGTGCGGTTTGGAGCCTGCTCGAATGACCCAAAGTCAAAGTGCCCTGCACCTCAAGGAGCTGGACAGCAGTTCAGCTCTGGCTTTGTAGGCCCACAACTTAGGGCCATTGCAAGGTGTTTTTGAAGGAGCGAGAGCAGTCCGAGGTGCAAACCCCAATTCCAAGATTCCAGCAGGGAGCTGATGATGCAAAGATGTCTGGCTCGCAAAGCCAAGAGAACCCGCTTAGGCTTTGATAGATCACAGTGGCCCAGATGGCAAAGCCATAGCTGTGATGGACCGCGGGACTGGCAGCGCTTCCATTCCTACTTGTCAAAAAAGAAGCTGCTTTGCTCATAGTCTCTTTTGGCGCAGGAGGCCGCTGCGATCATGATCTACCTTGTCGAGAAGCAGGGATCCGACTTCTACCCAGAGGACGCGAGGTGACGACTCAGTTTTGTCACGTCCGGTGCCTTTTTCTCTTGTCAGAGGCTTCGCTGCGAGTGCTTGCAGTGGTTATTCTGGCAAACTGGTGGACAGGGGCCGGGCCGCCAGGGCTGCTTGAGAATTCAAGACACCTCAGAAAGTCAGCACGACTCAGGCCAATGACTGGGAACTTCGGTCACTTCAAAGTGTATGCACCTGCAAGTGAAGCTCGAAGCTCGGGTCTTTTCGCTGTTTCTGACTTCGTAGCAAGCTTTCAAGATCAGGTGGATGCTCGCAACTACGGCGTTGCTAGATACGGCATGGAGGCACCACTCCCACACACCTCGATCGTCATCGCTTCGGAGAGTTGTCGTGCCAAAGGTTCAGAGAATTTGCTCAGTTCTGGCTTTCGTCTCAGCTGTCGCAGGCTGCACCAGGGAATAAGAACATAAGCTGGAAAGCACACTGCCTGCAGTCTAAACATCTGCCCATGCGAGTCTTCTTTGCCGCCGTTACGGCCCCTGGCTGTTGCGAAACTTGCAGCGTGCCGAGGATCGGCACCTCGCAGGCTATGGGGATTTCACCGGCAACCCGGGTCTGCGATGCCAAGGCCCTTGCAGCTGTTGCGGCCGCAGCCTTCCAATACAAACATCATGTCAATGCGGTATCCGATATCCCATGTCGGTACATGGAGGCCCTCGGCAGTACCTCGCCAGAAGCTCAGCCGACACACGCACACGCCCGCACACACGTACACGATCAATGCGTGTGCGGCTTGTATATTCATTCTTCCAGGGAGTCCAGACCTAGGTTGGCGACACCTATAGCATCGCCGACATGGCCATGAGCCAAGCAAAACTCCGAACAATGACGAAGTCTTGCTGTGAGAGTGCGAGTCCAAGTCCTGCACAAGAAAGGCCTGCTTTCCCTGGGCCTTCATGTTGTGGGGTCGGGTGCTAATCGTGGTGATCAGATCTGAATCTTCGTAGCATAGTTGAAGATCCGATGCGAGGCAAGGGTTACAATCGCCCCGGACAGCCAGATGCGAAGGATCGCATTGATGGATTTTGAGCTGGCAATGTCGACAAGCCGGTCCTGCCACGGTAGCATCACGCAATGCAGGACTTTCTGAATGTGCACCAGTACGCTCACCTCAAAGCTTGGGTTGCAGCAGGCTCAGTTTGAAGACACTCGGCTAACGGCCTTGCCATCACATCGTCTTTGTGCTATGCCCAAGGACCGCATAGCAGAAAGACCAGCGGTGCAGCGTGGCATCCGAGTTTGTGCCAGGGACTAAGCTTGGATGTATATATATTTTTCTATATATGTATATTTTTTGTTTTTGAGAAATGAATAGTCCTATGTATGTATGTATGTCTGTATGTATGTATGTATGTAAGTATGTATGTATATGGTCGGAGACTACCTTGGCCCTGGCCGTGCTCGGCAGGCCGGTTCCCCGAAGCCATGGCTGAAGAAGGAGACCGACACATCCCATGGCTTCTTCTCGAGCTGCGAGATGTCCTGTGTCTGGCCCTGTTTCAGGAGACCAGCAAGTCCAGGTTGTAGCAGCTCCGGGCGCTGCGGCTCAGAGCAAAAAAGGGTCTGAGCTGGAAAAGTGCCGAGGAGTCTTGTGCGCAAGCGCAATTTACAGCACCTCCAAGAAGCCCTTATGCTGTGTGCGGGTGTTCTACTTGGGCAGCTCCGGAGGTAGACGCCGCTGCAAATGCTGAAGGAAAGCACGAGGCATCATTCGCATCACGGTATGTTGCAAGGCTTTTCCTCTAAGCTCTAAGTTCCCAGTTCGTTTGAAAGAGCCGAGTTGTCGTTATCTGCAGCGAACTATGCTCTTTGAAAAGCTCGGAAGCACAGCCACTCTGGCAGGATGCAGCGGACGAATGCAAGGCCTGGCCCGTCAAGAGATTCACAGCCCTGTCGTGGGATGGGAAGGTTCTAAATTTGTGCCGGTGCCAGTTTGTGCTTATAACCGAGGACATAGACGACAATGACGACATCGACTTCGCAGCATTAACCGAGGTTGTAGCCCGAGGGACGGGAAACAAAGGGAAGCCCTGCGTGTGCCGGTGATGCGCATTTGCTGCATTGTGCAGCCCCAGGCCCAACACCAAGCTGCCACCTTGACAGGCGCATCGAACGATCGTCGTCTCACACCAAGAGACTTGTCGGGCCGTGACAGCGAGCATACCTGCTCAGGTGATGCCGATGCCGTCGCAGCCTCAGGGCTGATCCTGCCTCCCATGACTGCAGAGTCACGTAGTCACGTGTTCAGGATCGGAAGAAGAGGAGAGCTGGGGCCAGGGAGTCTGCACCTCGAAGCCGCCTGTCGTGGTCTGCTCCTTCACGCTGCTTTGAGAAATCCAGGTCTGCGAAGCGCCGCAAGAGGCAAAAGCGAACCCGCCCCGGAGACGAGCTGTGGCTGACTGCGGATCTATTTCTGCTGTTCTCTGCAGATCAGCTGAGGTGAGAACGATCTCATATGCGTCAAGCAAGCTGGCATCGTGCGAGCTCCAAGATTTGTTTTCCGGTTCGGGTTCATGCTCGGCACCGCTGGAATGTGTGCGCCTTTGAAGGCACTTCCTTCCCTGAAAGATGTCTTGAAAGGGTCCAGCAAGCCGGCGGTGAGCTTAGCCGAAAATGTTCAACGATTCAGACACCATCTTTTGGTTTGCATTGGCTTGACAGGCGATTGTCATCCCGTCACTTAAGGAGGCGCGTCTGATTTCTGGCGGCAGCATGGACATCAGTTTGCTGTGTGTGCGTGTGCGGATTTCTCAGGCTCTGCGATCAGCAGGAGCCGCCCAGACCCCTGGGGCTGAAGTCGCTGAGCCTGCAAAGGCACCGGGCCATGTGAAAGCGACTGATTTGTGCACTGGGCGGGGGAGGGCTTATTTTTTTGGAGTTTTCTATTTTGTTGTGTGTTTTTGTTTTGTTTTTTTTTGTGGGTCTTTTTTTGTAGTTACATTTTCTGTGATTTTCCTTAGGAAAATAGCATGTTCCTTACATTTTGGATGGATTCGTCATTAAGTTTCCCTAGCAAAACCTCTATTCCTTTCTTTTTCTTGAAGCGGACGAAACGACGGAAGGAAGGAAGCAAGAAAGCAAGAAAGCAAGAAAGCAAGGAAACAAGGAAGGAGGAAGGAAGGAAGGCAGGAAGAAAGCAAGGAAGCAAGGAGGGAGGAAGGAAGGAAGAAGTAAGTAAAGAAGGAGGGAAGGAAGGAAGGAAGGAACAAAGGAAGCAAGGAAGAAAAGAAAGAAGGAAGTAGTAGTCGAATATATACATAGTCCATGTAGTATATATATATAGTATAGTATATTAAATGTAACATAGTATTTGCGAGATAGTATATACTGTGAACATATATATTGTGTGTCCATACGTATATAGCATATGTATAGTACATATACATATACACATACATATACAATGCGTGCACATTGTATATATACACACATACACAGTATGTGTTTCTGTATATACATATTTGTGTGTATATATATATATATATGTATTGCAGATAGTATATACATATATAGAGTATATATATATACGTATATATATATATATGTATATGTGTATATATAGTATTATATACAGTATATACAGGTTTCCTCAGTATATGTAGTATGTCAGTATATATAGTATATATATATATGTAGTATGAATTATATGAATAGTGTATATAGTACATTATTTAGTCTATATAGTGCATATATATATATATATGGTACAAATAGTCTGTGTATATGGTAGTAGGTAAGGACCTTGTGGTTATTCCGCTCGCCACCCGGACGGCACATACCGAGAGCAGGGTCGTCACTGCGCCTTGGTGATCGAGGCTAGCAGTATGCGGGCATTCTGTGGGCGGCGCAGTGATCAATACAGGAGGATCGGGGCACCGCATCGCCCGGCCCCCGTCATGTCCTACCAACTACTCGGTACATACCTACCTTCCTACTACCTACTAGATACGTAGGTACTTACTACCTACTACCCACAAGGTATTCACTTATTACCCACTAGCTACGCACCTACTACCTACCGGGTACCTACATACTACTTACTGGGCACTTGCTACCCACTAAGTACCTACTACCTATTAGGTACCTACTTCCAACTCACGGGGTACCTACCTACGACCGACCAGGTACCTGCCTACTATGTACCCAGTGCCTTTTTGCTACCTGCTAGGTACCTACTGCCTACTGCCTACTAGGTACTTACTCACAACCTACTCGGTACCGACTACCTACGATGCACATATTACCCACCGGGTACCTACTACCTACTACGTACGTATTTACCGCTGGTACATACCTCGTATTTTGGTGCTTACTCCCTGCCAGGTACTTACCCTAACCCACGTACTTACTACCTATTAGAGGGACCCACCTACAACCGACTAGCTACCGACCCTACGACATACTTCGTACCTGCCTACTTCTTGTACCTACTACGGATTACTACTTACAACATGCTAGGTACCGACCTACTAGACTAGGTACTTACATACTACCTACTAGATACACACCTACTACCTATGTAGCTACCTAACCCCTTTATTAGGTGCATACCTACTGTACCTACTGCCTGCTATACCTACCTAGTACCTACGAAGTAATTACTACCGACTAGGTACCTACTACCTACTGGCTACTTACTACCTAGCAGGTACCGACCGACGACCGACTGGGCACCTACCTACGAGGTATCTGCTACCTACTCGTCCTCGGCAAGGGCGCCTTCGGCGATCACGGCGTGGACCCGGAGCTCGCGGCGGCTGGGACGTGGGCGTCAAGATTGGACGGAGCCGGTCATGGAGTATGAGGAGTTGGTGGCCAAGGCGGGTGGGGATGCAACGCTCGTGCGCGCCGTGACCCTGGTCAGCGAGGAGCAAAAGGAGACCTTGGCGAGCTTGTTTCGTGGCTCCGGCCGGGTTTTCTGCATGATGAGATGAGAGTCGCTCCCGGGGACCCATGTGTGTACATTTATGTTCATCTTTGGTGCTAACTCAAGTCAGATCGCAAGTGGCTCAAAATTGGAAGAAAGTGGGAATCCTGGCTGTTTCGAAAATACACATAAAATAGGAGATAAATAGGACCTGCCCGCACTCAGCGCACCACTTTTCACCCTTCTGCCCTGTGTTATTTTCCTATATTCCCATTTTTCCCAATTGTCTCTTTTGTCTCTCCTATTTTTCCTATTTGTCTCCTATGTTATTACCGTTTTTCTCCTATTTTATTCTCATATTTCTCCTATTTTATCCAATTGAGTTTCCTTCTTTCCTATTTCCTATAAGCCCTTAAGCCCTTAAGTTTTAATTATGTCTTCTGTTCTCCTGTTTCTGGAAATCATGGTTTCTCTAGACTTAGCACTCCTGAGATTGACATACGTCTACATATATATGTATATGCGTACCATAGTATGTACAGTATATATGGTATATGTGGTGTGTGTGTATATACATATATATATATATATATATATATATATCGAGTATATATTGTATACTCCGTATAACAACAACAGCACCAATAACGACAATTACAACAACAACAAGAACAAGGCCACCACCACCACCACAACAACACCAGCCACGACCACAACAACAACAACCACAACAACGACAACGACAACCACAACAACGACAGCAGCAACAGCACCATCAACAGCAACAGCAACAACAACAAGGATTGCATTAGCAACAACACCAGCACCAGCACCAACACCAACACCAACAGCAACAGCAACACCAACAACAGCAACAACAACAGCACCAACAACAACAATAACAACAGCAATGAGAATAACAGCAACAAGAACAAGAACAAGCACAATAAAAACAACAACAATAACAATAATCGTAATAATCACAACAACAATAATAAAAATATCAGTAACAAGAACAACATCAACAACAATAACAACAACAATGCCAGCACAATCACCATCACCAACACCAACAACAACAACACCAACACCAACAACACCAACAACACCAACAACACCAACAACACCAACAACACCAGCAACACCAACAACACCAACAACACCAACACCAACAGCACCAACAACAACAATAACAACAACATCAACAGCAGCAAAAACAACAATTACTACTACTACTACTACTACTACTACTACTACTACTACTACTACTACAACTACAACTACAACTACAACTACAACTACAACTACAACTAGTACTACTACTATTAGTATTTGTACTACTGTTATAACTAGAACTACAACTGCAACAACAACAACAGCAGCAATAATAATAATAACAAAAACACCAGCAGCAGCAACAACAACATCAACAAAACCAACCACAACAACAACAACAACAGCGACACGAAATCCGTCCAAAGTGCGAAAATGTAAGGAAAATCAGACTTTCCCGAGGAAGAACCAAGGTAACGTATGTTTTCCTGTTGAAAACCTAAGGAAATGACACGGAAGCCGCAGGAAAATAGTGTTTTCCCTAGGAAAACCAAGGAACGCCTCAGGAAATCACACGGAATCTGTAGGAAAAGAGTGTTTTTCCGATGACAAACCCAGCAACACCTAAGGAAATCACCGAGAATCCGCAGGAAAATAGTGTTTTCACTCGGAAAAACCAAGAACACGGACAAAAAACAGATTAAAAAAACATACCAGACAAAAAAAAAACTTGGGCATACTTGGCAGGTACATGAGAAGGACATGCAGGAGCAGTGTGCGCCTACCAGTGAACCCTCTGAGCTTCCTCCGACTGTGGTCGGAGGCAGGGCTGCGGGCTGTGGCCCAGAAAGAAGATCGATCGCTCCTGTGTGAGCGACGTTCCTGCTCCCTGTTGACACGACCGTGATCGTGCCTCTCCGGCCCTGCAGGTGAGACAGAGAAGTCTCTGGCGCAGAGGAGTGCTGTTTCCTACGAGGCTGGGCTCCGAAAACGGCAGTTGACGAAGCATCCATGCGTTGAATGCTCGTTCGGCTTCACGACCGGACGAGGACGTCGATGAGCCCGTTACTGCTGAAGCCCCGGCTGCCAGCTCGGATGTTGCTCCTTGGCAGCAATAGCAGGTGCAATCTTCATGCTCGGTTGCGACAGTCTGTATACATCTCTCTCGGTCTTTAAATAGTTGAATAAGTAAATAATTAAATATTCAAATACATATGTATACATATATGTATATGTAGCAGCAAGATACATATGTGTATATATATATATATATATGTATATATATGGACACATGCACATGTAGAACTGCTACATGGCATTGTGCAAGGGAGCAATCCTGACTCCCATAGCTTTGCTGTCGATGCTGACAGTTCATCACTGTAGTTTCATAGAGGGTGTTGTGCATACATTCCGACTCACAGTCGAGGTGATCGTATCTGACTCTGCGCCGCTTTAGTTTCTCAGATTCAAGTCTAGCTCCCTAAAACCCCTACCCACAAATAGCCCCCAATGCCAAAGCAGCCGCGAAGCCCCCAAACACATCCCCAAAAACGTTGAGCCCTAAACCCCAAAACCCCCCAAAACGCCCTAAACCCCAAAAGCTGCAAGAAAAACACCCCGAAAAGGTGGACCAGAGCAGGCTCCAGGTCGCGATCTCGCGGGTCGCCAAAGACTCGGAGAGGCGGGCCTGGGCCCCAGAGGTGCTTTGAAGGGGAAGGAGGCCCTAAGGGTCCATGTACCCGAATAGTAAACAGTATATACTTTGGGACCCTTTCAGGTAGGGTTAGGTTGGGGTCTTCGGGCTTTGGGTTTCAGGCCTGGGTTTAGGGCTCTGGGTTCAGTGGTTTGGGGCTGCGGGTTTTAGGGTTCCGGTTTGTTTACAACTTTGGGCTTGGAGGTTAGGGTTTCATATACGTGAAGAGCAGAGTCGTGCAGGCAGCATGCATGGCAACGCAACCCTAGAGTAAGAGTCTGCCAGACAGCACTGCGAATATAAGGCATGATCAGATTATGCAGCAGTGCGAACAACTTGGACAATCGCAACTACGAGTGATTTGTACAGTTTTAACAGCGGTTGGTGCCCAGCAGAAGTTTCAAAATAGTCGAACTGGTCCATCGAAAAATTATTGTTCTGCGGCGACAGATAAGTGCAGTACTATGAGATACAAGCACACCGTCATTCAAGACAGCATGAGCCAGGGACCATGCTCATGTGTGCATGAAATAATCGAAGCTGATGCTCAAACTGCGACACATAGCAAGCAACTGCCACTTACAGCAAGCCCGACCAGACTACTAGTTACTAGCTCCATTTGCTTCCAGTTCACGGTCTCGGGTCTTTTAATGGCCATGCTGTCGTAGCCACAGACCGGATAGGTCGAAGCATCTTCACCTGGGAACTCGCACCGCTAAGGCCCGAGTCGCCAAGGCACAGATGCGAGTTCAGCTAAGTGCAGGGCACAGCATCACGTTTCGAAACTGCCCTGGCGCAAGCCAGTGCAAGTCGTTTCTTCACGCTCGCAGGTAGATTGGTTGACGTGTGGACGTGGGTCTTGGTTCAGTCTGTCATGACAGGCAACAAACTCGCGGTCGGTGTTCATCACCAACCTGCCATTCAAGGCGAATCCTCAGCACTCTGTGAGGTCACTTGCTCAGCTGCACTCTGTGAGGCACAGGAGGAGGAGATTCGGAGCTGGCTGGAAAAGGCCGGTGAGATCAAGGGTCTCCGGCTCAACCGGGACAAGGCCGCAAAGTGCAACTACATGCATCCCAGATCGTTGTACTTTTCGGGTTGAATCCTATTTCCGCGATGTCTACGACGTCGCGCCAGAAGCCACCGGAGGTCACCACGAAAGCGCTGGGCTTTGGACACGTGCAGTCTGGACCTAAGTATTCGCTGCATCACCGCCACATATCATTAAGGCTTGGCGCAGCGATATCCAGTCGTCTTGAGTCCGAGCCGGTCAGAACCATGGCAAGTCTGGCGTTGAACCAGTCATCTCCACATGGTACCCTGTGTTGCTCTGTGCGATATTATGCCGTTCAGGTTCGAGTCCTCACAAGTTGCAGACGCTGCTGTCGAACAGCCCTTGACCCAGCTGTTCCGAGTACAGAAACTCAGGGACTGTTGGTGCCTCGCTCGCTGTTCCATATGGCACGAAAGGTGTGACAAAGTGGAGCTGCATGGACGCGTGATGCGAGTCGCGCCGGTGGATCCCAACACAAAGCCTGAAGCTCAGTCTGGGTCGCATGGTAATCAGTGTCGTGAGCCTGCGTGTCGATGCAGCTTGCCATAGTCCAATGGCGTTCGAGGTTTCAGTTTGAGCTCCCGGAGAACATCAAGGACACAAGCATGAAACGTGTGCGTGTGAACGACTATTTGTCTTGGCTGTAGACTTCCACTTGTGCGTATTCAAGACCATCGTGGGGAGAAGCGCAGCATTGTGTGCAATCGGTCGACTTCGGCGTTTTGCGCTGGTAGTCCGCAGCTTCGACATGAAAGACAAGAGACGCACCGAATGGGTACATAACCTGGCAGTCAAAGTGCAGCAATGCGCAGATTTGCTAGCTTTCAGGAGGACCTTCTAGGCCTAATGCGCGAGGCACGGGCCCGAGAGATGAGGCAAGTAACCAGGGTCGGGCCACAGCTAGAATACTGAGAGATTTTGACCTCTAAGGCGTACGAAGGCAAGAACATCAGCACCATCAAGGACTCTAATCGAATGGCGCAAGGAACCAGCACATGCTTCGGCTCATTGCCGAAGTTTTGGAGGATGCCTGGCAAAAGCGACATCCAGGACAGAAGCTGGACACCGCCAAGTCCATGGCTGAAGTCCAGCCGTGCTGTATCTGTGGGAAATTTGCTGACATGATACTACGGAATACAAGCATGCAGTCGAGGTGGGGTTTCAAGAACTTTTCGTCTTCCCTGAAGACCTTGGAAGGCACGCCAGTCGCAGTGGTCACGATGTAGTGTGGAGCGAAGTTATTGCAAGGCGTCACGCTGGAGCACCACTTGGAAAAGACTCTGACGTACTTGGCTTTCTTCGACGGCTCTCCCGCGCACAAGGCCTACCTCGAGGACTTCGGGTTTTGGATGTCAGCTTGCGGAGCATCCTAGCTGCCCCGATACGCGAGCCGCACCAGCGCAGGAGAGATCCAAGAGACAAGCAGAGGGCAAAGTGGCCGAAAATCCTGGCGAGGCATCGTTCAGCAGCGCGCACGCACACACATACGCCCGTACCATATTGCAAATCGAAATGGGTGGTTGTCAAAATTAGGGTCCCCTTCTGGCTCAGTCTTATAATACGGCACCTATATTTAGGGTACCTAAAAAGGGACCCTAATTTTGACAACCACCCAAATATTTCATCCCTCCTTGCTTTTGTCCGACATTTGTTGATAGATATCCTTCCTAAACATTGTGAGTAGTAAGTAGTTAGCCAGCAAACCCGAAGCTCTCCGATCCGTACCTAAACAGGCCATTTATCGCATCCTGAATATCGTCACAAGCTCCTACTGCTCGAGGCTGAACTGAAAGCACCCTGAGTTTTTCTCTTCGAAGGAGTACTAGAAAGGTGAGGACAGTCAGTCTCGAGCCGGGCCCCACAGCTCAGTGCATCCTGTCTTCCAAGTGCTGCCAGAGTTTCTATGGATGTCACTGCCAGAGCCTCCGAGTCAGGGTCCAGAACCTCACAAAGCGCATCAGCTTCGTAGCAGTCGCCGGGGCTAGCTAAGGCCAGTTGTAGCAGAAATCAGTGCATTTGCTTCCACAGAATCAAGATTAGAAAATCGTTTCGACGTCTCGCGCCCACTGACTTTCTTGGCCTGCGGGGCCAGTTAAATTTGGTGCAGAGCATGCGCCTTGCTTCGCAGGTGCAACGTTGATTCTGCAGGCCGTAAGTTGAACGACACGCTTTCGACAATCGGAGACGTAGCAACACATTACAAGCAATCATATCCAGGCCAGGACTGCGAATGCTTCAACACTGCTGAAAGACACTTCGTTAATCTTCAGGGAAGCAAAATTCATGAAGTTCAAAGTCTTCGGCACTTGACCCGAACGGGCGGATCACTGCCTGCTGCTGGACTGCCAGGCAAAGCGAGCAGCTGCCGAGGCTGGGTCCTGCTGCATGCCGTAGGAGCCTTCATAAATCGTCCATGCGAGATCAATGCGACGGCTGCGAGGCTGACGTGCTAAAGCCCGACAAAAAGCTGAAGGTCCCCAGCAAAGCGCTTTCACAGTTTCGTGGTTGTCGTCGCTTTTAACTATACGGCGTGCTAGTCAGACCGATCGCTGCCGTCATCTGTCCGGAAGACGTACCGTGCTCCAAAGACTGGCAGTTCCTCTAGTGCAGGTTGCCAGAGGTTTTTGTATGTGCTACCAGCAAGGAACGGCGCATCCGTTTTGAGTCCATCAACTTGTTTCAGGTCGAGAATGGCTCCAGCCACCTGAAGGCCCCACCGTTTAAAGTCTATGTGCGGTACAGGAGCTTGGTGTCCGACGCCTGACAGTGCACAGAGCAATCTGCCTGGACTCAGCCAGACAAGTTCAAGTTCTACAAGGCTTAAGGTCATGCTTTCACGGACTCACAATGGACACGATTAGCTCGCACACATTAGAGACGTAGTTTATCGAGCTTCGTAGCTGGATGCATGGTCCAAGTTCATGTTCTGCAACTTGATCGAACGCATGCCAGACGTGTGTAGCACCTCAGTTTCAGACGGCTTCTTATCCCGATAAGGTATTGACTCCTATGATCGTAGATGCTTCCTGACATTCAAGCTGCACATGGGGCGTCGAAGACTCCACGCAGCATCCTCAGATGGCATGCAGCCGATTCGAAGGGTATGCCGGGGCTTCGTTTCCTTTCTCTCTGAAGGACGTGCGGATGATTCCAGGAGTCCCGGACCGGTGGAAATCTTCGAGGAAAACATCCGTGCAAGGCGGGACCTCAGAGACTTAGAGCCCCTTGTCTAAGCCTCGACCACGTCGTGCCTCATGCAAATCCGCCAGTGGTATGTCCCATGAAAGACACTAGCCATCGATGTTCGCATCAAGTGCGAGAGTCAACTGCAGGGCTTCGAACCGACGGGCAACGACCAAGAAGTTCCGGAGCCCACCGGCTTTGGTGCCTCAGCTCCAGGAAGAAACCTTGTGGCTTCAGCGCAGAGTTGCAGTTTCCGACTAGGAGGCTTGGCTGGATGCCACCTTGGAAACCCAGAAGCTCAGCTCGAAAGCTGCGTGTCCAGAGCGCCTCAAGGTTCACCGAGAGGCGAGGACGGGACGCGGGGCAGGGCAGAGCAGGGCGGCAGACGACCTTTGAAGGCGCTGGCCTGGCTTTGTGACCTCCTCCCGACCTACGGCCATGTCCTCTCCAGAGTGTCTTGGTTCAGGGCATAAAGGGGGGGGCACCACAGGCCCGCGGGCCCGAAGTCATGAAAGGCAGAGTGAACTTCGAGTGAAGATCGATAAGAGCTGTTTAAGAACTCGCATTTTTGTCAATCTTGAACTGTACCGAGAGGCTCTGACGGGATCTGCTCTTTGCCCCGTCACTGGCTAGTGGGGCCTTGCAGACTGGTGTCCTTTCGAAGGATCTCAACATGTCTGTTCCTAAGGTGCTGGACGAGGTCGACGGAGCTTTGCACAGGTTGGAGACATGGCAGGGGGAGCTTCAGAAGATGCATGGCCTGAACCGTCAGCTGCTTAAAGAGATTTGCACGGGGTTCACGGGAGACGGAATACTGCACGCAGCATCCACGTGAGCTGGCACACACGCACAGGGGTGGCATGTCACTGAGGCACGCTCCAAAGTCAGTTGCGATCCCTTCGGGTCCTGCACAAGCTGCAGGTGGAGGAAGCCTGGTAGCCTGGCTGCATGATGCTGCATGGCTGTGATGAAGCAAGTATGAAGTCCATTAGACTTGGAATCGGTAGTGTCATCGTGCTGTTGGCCTTGAAGGTCTGTGACCAAGAAGAGCAGCGAAGCTGAGACCCAGCCCGTAGCTGTACCACTGGCTGACAGCCAGAAGCTGGACAAGGCACGGCTAAACCCTAAACTTTACGCCCTATCCCCACTTGGGATGCTGAAATCGCTGCAGGATGCTCAAGCCGAAGTCACCAAGCGCAGACACGCGGAACGGAAATCGCTCAAGCTCCAATCCGAGCTTCAGAGCATCAGGCCACGGGGAGCCAGCTATCTGTTCAATTAGTATAGCATACGTATATCTATCATATGTATGTAGATAGGCGGGTAGGTAGGTAGGTAGGCAAATCTCTATGTATGTATACATTAGAAAATGAAACATTCGGCCTGTCCTATGTCAGGCACCAGCTGCAGGACAGAACCGGTGCTGGAAACTTACAGAATTCGCCGTCGTCAAGCCTGCATGCGCTGCCAGGAGTTGGAAATCAAAGAGGCTGACAAAGTTGCAGCCCAAGATGAAATGAACAGGACGGACTCATCCGAGACTGTACCAGTACGTAGCACTGCTGTTATTTCTTTCATGTGCAGGCTTATTGAGCAGAGGGAGCACATCTCCCGCAAGAATGATGCGCGGGGCACCGAGACAACCAATGCTGGGGTAACGCACGACTCCGCCCTGAAGCTTTCCGAGGCTGCAGAAAGAGCGCTCGCAGCTGCATTCGGACCTGCGCAAGTACGAGCCCCAAAGCAACCTCTCCTTCAGGTCGATGGATTAGCAGTGCCTAAGCCTAGGTTCCAGCAAGAGAATGATCAGCTGAAACAGCAGCTGAACTCGTCGAGTGCTCGGTACAAGTACCGCGCGCCACTGGAGTGAAAGCTCGCATGACTTCGCCAAGGAAGTCGGAGGAGTGCAGGCAACTTCAGACAACGCAGATTGCTGCTCCGCTCGCATCTCAGAGGCCCCTGCAGCACAGGTGTTTGGACTCGTTTCGTCGCCCGAATCTTCGGTGACAGCGGACTGACGGCAATAAAGCCGTGATAGCTGAGTGGTATTGAGAGCATGCTGCACCGCTGGTGAAAGCCTCCGCGACAAACGATCACCGAATTAGTTGCAGTTTCTGTGCTAATGCTGGACCCTCTGTGGGGAGTCTCTGATGTATGCGTACACATATATATATAGATAGATGTATGTACAAATAAGTCACCCCCGGATCGGGTTGGAGCGGCATGACCAGCAAACTCACCAAAGACAGCCTAGACTGAGCTGGTTCTATCATCCGTTTGGGCGGAACATCGTGATCTCGTCTAAGGCCGACGGCGAGCAGCTTGTGCTTGGCTCAGCCGGGGATCATTTCACGAGTTGCTCTCGTTACCTCCGATGCCCAGGGAGGAGCAGCAGTCGACATTGAAGCTACCACCTGGTTCTTGGCTCAGAATCGCGTAGTGCGTGGAGAACCTCGTATTTAGCTGGCCTAGGGGAGCTGGCCCGGACCCCCTCCGTCAAGGCCAACGGCTTTTCAAAGAGTTTGGGCACGACGCTACGATAATGTCGTGCATTAGCCGATTCCGGTGGGTAAACCCGTCGTTGCATCGGAAGCTCCCGTGAGATGAAGCTTCAGACTCTCCGCCGTGCCAGCCGACAAGCTTCCTTGCGGCCGTGAAGTTGGAGAGAGATCCCACAGTGGCTGCGGAGGAGATACTGGCAGACTTATCTTAGACTCAGACTTGCAGTCCTGGACCAGGGTTGTGAAGAGCAGCGATAGTGCAGAAGTATGGGTCTTTTTGATTACAGGCCGGTCAAACTATCTAATGACAGTCGAAAGCAAGGACGACTAGCACCTTGCATGAGGGGGGAAGCGGGACCGAAAATACCTGCAGACAGATTGGTGAGTTGGAAGCATCATTGAGAATTTTGCTCGCCAGATACTATTTGTGCGTCTGTTTCCACGGATGTTCGTGGACTGCACTGTGCCTGCAAGTTTACTTCTGACCAGGAGACGGACTACGTCCCCGACAGGCCCGATGGCATGGCCTTTCAAGCAACTACCACCATGCGAGGTCGGCAGTGGGAGGATCCGCAGCTTTGGCAGCAAACTGAAATAGTACCGGAAGCGCAGTGCGGAAGACTGACATCGACGAAAGGTTACCCGTCATTGGATAGCTTCGGTTGGACGTGACGTCAAAGAGTATGCTGGATGTTACGGTCACTGGACAAATGTAGAGGTAGACATTGCCATGTCCCTCCTGCAAGCTCAGGCAAAAGTGGACGCTCAGCATCGACGAGTGGGACCGAGTGCTTACTTTCTGCCAGGAGCAGGAAGCGCAGCTTGAATGATACATGACTCTCTCTCTCTCTCTCTCTCTCTCTCTCTCGCTCGCTCGCTCGCTCGCTCGCGGTCGCGCAGAGCAAGTCCGCAATTGGGACTACTCGTCAGCAGCCCTTTCAGCTAGTCAACGTAAGACCAGTTACCTGCTTTCCTATCCTGAGATCCGGGTTGTAGGGGACGCCGTGCCAAAGTAGATGGAAAGAGCGTCAGCCACCCCTCTATCTGTCGGATGATGATAGATGTCATGCTGTCTTTGCCGGGTGGCACCTGGGTATAGGGGCGTTAGTGCAAAGGGTACGCTAGCGTTGAGAAGCTTGTGTCAAATACAATTCAACCCAGTATCCGAGGGTGGCTTGGGCCGTTGATGTAGTCGTCGGTGCGCATGTGCGGTTTGGAAGGTGACTATGTGGTCCAGCGAAACTGAATTCATCAGGATATGACCTATAAATTTTAAATGTGCGAAGAGATAACCTGCTGGGGGGAAATACATAAAGCAGAAGTGGGGATACGATGGACATGTTCATGTACCAGCTGGGAAAGGTACTCGTTCAAGCAATCTGCATAGGAACGTGAATGTTTAGCGAGGGTCATAATCCTGGTGCCTGATCATCTGATCATGCCGGGGGAAACGCGCTTGCAGATGAGTCCCGCGCCCAGCAGTTGAGCCCCTGCAATTCAGGTATCAGGTGTTCAAGAGCCACGGCAAGAAGTACGTGAACATGCCACTCAACTAGCGGCTGGTAGCAGCTGGAATGGTACGAGCGGAAAGCACGCCAACTGAGGTATGACCTGAACCAGGAGTATGTAAAACCATGGACGCGAGGTGGGGAAGCCCGTGCGAGATTGGATGTTGGTTTTGCACGAAGTTGACATTATGTTGCCAGGTGAGGGCTGCGGCGTTGCAGTCATGATGAGCCAGCACCGCGAGGCCCAACCTCAGCGAGTTTTGGAGAGCTACCAAGCTAATCGTTCTTGAACGGCAAGGATTCGGCGCAGCTTATGTTGTCGCACGCTTGGGCAGAAGATGTCGAGGACAACTGGTGCCCGCAGGCCGACTTTGGGAGGGTGGTCGGTTTCCTTTTTTGTTCCTGCCAGGAGTGCCAATCTGCGGTCATGGAGCATGTCCGTGAAGCCCAACTGCCTAGATGCCCGGTGGAACACGGTGCTATAAGCATGAGCAGAGACGGAACCTCGTGTTTTTTAAGGCAAGGTGCAGTTTTGGTAGCTCATGATAGCTAGTGCTGCTGGTGGCGCTCGCACTGGTAGTGATGATGTGGTCGTGGTTGGTCATTGCCATGGTCAAGGCACATCCTCGACTGCTCATGTTGGTAATGATGCTGACGGTGATGACCAGCATCATCATGATCCAGCCATCTGCAAGACATCCTGTGGATGCATGAAACGGCACCGTTTTTGGATGTTCAGTTCGCGCGCAGTTTCGCTTTCTGAGGAGAGACGGCAGTGTGGTTTTGCTTGTTCGCCAACTACCAGGCAAGAACCACGCCCTAAGAGCCGGCCCCTGCGCTTTCGCCCAGACGTTAGGTCGGTGATGAAAGCGGCCCCAGCATTGAAGCTCAGCTGGACCCTCAGTCCTGCCCTGCTACTTCTACCAAGTATCAGCAGAAGATGCCGACTGGATTCGAGGCTCAGCTTGAAGCCCTTTGCCAGTGTCATCTCGGCTGCCAGCCTAAGACGAGGGACAGGCGCCGATGCGAAGTCTTCGCTCAGTTCCCTCTGACCCAGTCTGCGACGTGACTCCGCTTTTCTGCAGGCTATGGACTGCACGCGATACACACTTCGACCGCTGCCGCCGGGCAAAGATGCATTGTCTTTGATTTATTGCGTTGCTGTGTAGTGTAGCTGTCATTGAGGTTTGAGTGACTGAGGATCTATATCAGCGTTTATGGTGTGTACATGAAGTCGAACGTGCATTGAAGGCACGATCTCGCCGTGACCTTAATTCGCGTAGCCCTTCGCAGCATGTTGAGCGCAGGGTGACGTCGATGTAAGCACGTCCATGTCAGACAAGTACAAGGACCTCCAATTTTCCACTCGTCCTTATTCTTCGCCCTCTGCTTCTGCTTCTTCTTCTTCTTCTTGCACGTCCGTGCATGTTGCTCGACTGTAAAGCTGCTGCCGCATGCTTCGCACGAGGAGCAGACGCTGCAGAGACTGCAATTCTTTCTGCATCTTGGCCGCAAGCCGTGTCGGAAGGACGCCTGCGCCATGCCTACTCCACCCAGTGCCAGGAGCGAGTCCTGCAGCACCAGTACTTGGGAAGACTGTATGTGGGCTGCGAACGTCAAGGTGAAGACGATCCAAGCTAGGCGCTTTGCATGGGAGCGCTGCTCGCCTTTTCCGCAGCTCGCTAAGACTTGAGCCAGGTGTGACCGGATGGAAGATGAGCAGATGCTCATTGCAGAGATCATGGCCACTGGTGGTTAGAAGCTCTGAGTTCTCGAATTTTTCTGCTCCAAGGCAGACTCCAAAGTGTCACTAAGGCTTTGAGCGCATCGATTCCACCATCGAGAGGTTCAGAGCAGAAACCTTTGGCCAGAACTACGACGCTTGATCTCAATTTTGCTGCTGTCCCCTTTCAGCCTTTTCTTGCCTTGTGCCCTTCTTTGGTACCCTCCATTCCATGACCAGCAGGAGCTAATGCTGAAGGCCGTGGGTCGGCATGGCCAAGCGCAGCCTGGCGGCTTTGGAGCACTGCATAGCGCCGCCTCTGCCTTCCTTTTGAAAAGGGGGACGTGCACGTGCACGTCTCAGGCTGAAGTTCGCCAGCTTCGAGCGTCTGGAAAGAAAGCTGATTCACAACTTAGTCCTGACAGCAGTGCACTGCTCAGATTTCACGAGACCTCGGCCCGGCATCCACGCGCTCCCTGCTTTGTGAGGTCCGAAGCTCTGGAGCCTCTTTAGCCCACGCCCCTGTCGAGCTCAAGGCGGACAAGGATCTGGTCATTGAGGATCCGCTTGCCCGCACAATCATTGCGTACGACACTACGATGTTTAGCTTTCTGTACTTGGGGTCCGAGAGGCCGTGAGGCAGAACGGCATGGCCTTGCAGTATGCCGCAGAGGCACCGAGTCCGCTTGCCCAGTGGCTGATCCGCGTTCGAGTGAACGCAGACAGGAGATGCGTGTGGACCGCGACGTCGTGCTGAACGCAGTGCAATCGGACGGCTTGGCGCTTCAATTTGCATCAGCCGCCCGGACCAGACTTGAAGAACCTAAGCTCGCGCTGCGTCAGAAGACTCCAAAAAGGCAAGGGACCTCTTCCGAACTCGGACGGAGCTTGCAAGGGAAGACTAAGAGGGGTCAAATAGACGGAGCTGAGGGTCCGGCCTTGATGGATCACGCCGTGGTCTTGGCTGCCGTGGCCCAAGATGGCGAAGCCTTTCGTCTGGCACCCGAGCCTTTCTCAGCACTCGTCTGATGGCTCTAAAAGGGCACCAAAGGGCACCTGTGAAGTATGAATCCGAGGACAGCATGAAGAAGAACCGCGAGATCATGGAGAAGGCTGTGACGACCAGTCCTAAGGCGAGACCATACCGCAGAGGCCTGGGTTGGTTTTTTTCCCAGATCCTTTCGGCGCTGGAGGCCTTGGCCTATGTTCCATCGGAACTGCAGAAGGACGCCCTGGAAGTGGTCAAAAGCTCACCGGAGGTGCTTCGGATGCCACATTCATGCGAACTGCTTAAATGCTTCGCGTGGAAGGCTGTTCTTCAGCTGGAGAGGTCAATGACAGTTGCTGGCATAGCAGCTCCGTTGCAGACGTTTGCATGCAGCAGTCTGCAACAATCTGACACACCTGCAACATGCCATACAATGTTCACAGTTTGTATGTTCCAGCAAAGTCATTCCGAGGTCAATCAAACCGTGGCTCTGTTGCAAAAGGGCCGGTCGATCTCTGTACTGGTGAGTCGGATGAGTAACCTCCTAAAAGTTGTCTTTCGCACAGGATACACCACTCAGACTCAGGAGCAACAAGTCGAGCGAATGGAAGAAATGGCGGTGACTCGCAGGCGTCTGTGCCCATGCTCATCTCACGACATGTGTACAAAGTCCTACATTCTCGAGATAACCTTGTCGGAGCTCTACTACGTGGTGTTTAAATCTATGTGAAGCGAGACTTTGCCTTGCCAGCTTAGGTGCATCCCGAGCGGGCTGTGCAGTGCATCCGCACAATTTCACCTTGTGGCTGCCAATTGCGTCAGGCACGCGAAGGAGTCTGAGAAGGAGCAAGAGAGATTGCAGAAATGGCTTGACCTCATGCCGCTGAGCTTGCGCTTGAGAGTTGTCGAGCGTATGCACACAGGAAAACACAAGCATGCACCCCTTAGATGCGTGGACGCATGCACACCAACATGTGCATCTATCATGTGCCGGTTCAGCACTTCTCGCGAGCCTGCTGTGCTCTTCTAAGCTTGACCGAATTAAGCGTTGTGTTTGGGCGTATTGGCACGGAAGGAGCGAGAGTTAACATGCGGTGCAAATCCTCGTGCTGCGCACAAGCCCTCTCAGCCAAGGAAGAGTGTGCGACCTCAAGTAAGAACAGAGAAGCCGAAACGTGCACTGCGGCTAATGCTGCTGGGTTTGGACAGCCTATTCCAGAACACGCAGGACTCGGCAGTCGTTTATTCAGCTCCTGTCCGAGTTGCAAAAGGGCATGCCAGGTGTTGGGTGCACAGGAGAAGAGCAGACAAATTGTACGGAGTCGGGGTCGCGTTCAAGGAGGGTCGGAGCCGTCGGGGATCTACGGTAGTAAAATCTGCCCAGAGCAAGAGGGGGACAGAGAGACGAAAGACTGAGCATAATTACAGTCTGTTGAAGGTGGATGTTTCAAACGAGTCAGCAAGCTCGCAGCAGGATCCATCCGTGATTTCGCGGGCTCGCCAGGCCTGTAAGCTTGAGGTTGTCCAAATCGTTGTAGGTTGTAGGTCCTTCCAGATCTCAAGCGAGTGGCTGCTGCGCTGCTTGAGGCTATCGAGAAGCAATTCGATACCACCACCGACGAGGACAAGATGGATTATGTGGATGTCCTGCTTGACAACAGCATTGCGACTCGTCCATTCCATGAGTTGAACGCACCGGACTTTGATCGACATCGTCGGCTCTGCCCGTCGGCTTCCATCTTAACAGACTCCAAGAATGCCACTGCAGCATTAGGCCATGCACGCCACGCTGAAGAATTCTCTCTTCAAGTGCCTTGTCGAGTACAAGTTGAAGCTTGCCGACAAGGCTCCCCTGTAAGTACCGTATGCCATGAACAATTAGCGACGTAGGTCAGTGTAGATGAGACACTGCAGCACCCTGCAGCATGGTGCAGGCTGGTGCTACTTTGGACCCCAAAACGCCACTTCTGCTGCACTCGTCTGTGCAGTGCGGCTTCGAGTCGAAAGTTGTCCTGAATCCCAGGTCTTCCAGTCCGGTGAGGAGGTCTCTAGCCCGCAACGGCAAAGTCAAAGCCTCGCTGTCGAAACGTGCCCTCATCCCTAAGGTACAGCATGCACGTGCCGAAGTTGGAGCCCACACCCTCCATGGAATCTGACCGCTCTGAACGCCACAGCGGCCGGGCATTCACGGCTGCGACGAAGATTCAAGTCGATCAACTGGCCGTCGCGCCTTGAGACTCCTGAAGCTGGGGCCCAGGTAGCTCTTCAAAAAAAGCTAATGACTGACACCCAGCATACCCTCAAGTATGAACAGGGTCTCGCAAGAGTGGCCTTTGTCCTTATGACAGCAAGCTGGGTGTCCTGTAGCGATTCGTAGAATCTTTATAGCATGATGCTGTAATTTTAGTTTTAACCATCAGACTGTGGCTTTGGCGACAGTGCTTGACTTGCAGAGGATTTTTCATGCTATAGACACTGCTTTGGACAGCTCTTTGCTGGTACACTGTCCCGCCTGCTTCAGCTGGCAAGATACGGAGCAGTTCTGTGACAGAACCCCCGTGGAATTGGAATGGCTCAGAGCCTTCTCATCAACATGGTGAGAGACGGGCTGGTGTCAGAAATCTGACATGCCATTGAGGTGACAAAGCTTGCGCGAGCATGTTAGCCTGTCGTACCTAATGATGTGCAAGTCTGACCGAAGCACAGCAGTAAGGTGCGTGGCAGAGTTGTCTTGGTGGGCGGGGTCGCGAGCTGTGCATGGCCTGAAGAAGGAAAGCGCGGCCAACGGACGACCTCCTGAAGTCCAAGCCAACATGAGCAGCAGTGTGCAGGCCCTCCAAAAAAAGGTTGTGGAGGGATGTCCAAACAATGACCAGAGCATGCCGCAATTGCAGCTTGTCGTGAAAGGTTTCGACGTGACTCCGCTGGCCTTCCGCTTCTAGCTTGCGCGCACTCTCTTGTGCCGCAAAAAGCTCGTGGTCGGCGAAGATATCAATGTTGTTGGACTTTGTCTGCCGACTTCCAACTGATGTTCGTAAATTGAGACTACCGGCCTATCATGATTAGGCTCTGGTGCATGAGCTGCAGCGAACGATAGGAAACTGCAACTGTATCAATCGGCCAAACGTGGAGGACTTGGTACCGTTGACTTTCCTAGCCTACCCTGACAGGAGATTCATGGGATGTGCTGTTCTCGTGTTTGTTTCCAGAGCTTGACATTTTAAAGACAAGCATGCTGCAGCAGCAGGTTAGTCAAGATAGGATAAGCGTTCATCGCGCATCTGCTTGTCGCCATGGCCAGCCATTGGTGGACCGTTGTTTATGTGCAAGCCCTTCTGGTATGTGGATCGCTAAACACGATTACCATGAAGATCCTTGGCAGAAGCTGGCTTCAGGGTTGGAGTGCCGAACTCATCCTTTCTGTGCTTTCGACGTGCTGTGAGGGTGGCCTTCACCATGTCTGGAACTGCTGATGGCCGCCAAGAGCGTTTCGAGAAACCGTGGCTCATGACCTTCATCATGCCAGTTATCTGCAAGAGGAAGATTGAGTTCAGTAGTTCAGTCTGCCCCGGAGCTGGATCTCTAAGGTTCGTTTCAATGACCCTTGCCTTACCTTTTGACGCCGGTCGCCGCCTCATCGGAGAAAGGCAGCACGACCGACCTGCTCTGTTGAGAGTCGCCGCACTGTAGGCATGTGGAGGAAAAGCTCGCCCGAACCACTCCTCGGTGGGCAGGCACAGCGTGGCACCGGCTGTGGGAGTGTCATCGGTCATTCGCGGTGCCAAAAAACGTGAGGTTGCAGATCGCTGGCGAGAGAAGGTCCGGCTGCGAAGTCGAACTCCTGCCTTGAAGCAAAAGCATTCGAGGTGATCAAAGTGATGTACCCTGCGTTTTTTGACATCTTGGCGACCGGGCTTTGCTGAAGCTCGTCTGCAACGTATATCAATTTGTCATGTTATCTTTTGGTGCTGCGTGGCGATACAAATGTGCTTTGAGGCATGGGATTTTTGTACATCCCGGCAAGCGTGTGGCGACCTGTCGGCAGCGACTCTTCCTCTTTGCCTGTACTAGAAAGGCCTTTATACTTAGAATAGGGTTTGAGGGTAAAATAATATACTATAACTTTAATAAGGAGCCCCCGAAACAGTATTGGTAATGATTTAGGCCCCTATTTTATCTTGCCTAGGGCAGCCAAGCTCTGTAGCCTCCGACTGACATTCGCAACTAAGGCAGCTCCTCAGAGGTGCCGAAATAGTCTTTGTTAGAGCCTTGGAGAGATTTCGGGCTTCGTTTTTCCCCGACATCGTTCTACGCCTGCTTGGGGGCTGGGTGGGAGGCCGCCATTTTTGCCGTGACCTGCCTCCATCGGCGACTTTACTGTTTCCAGTACATCGGCTTGGCCTTCTGTGTGGCTGGCATCTTTTTAGTGGGTTGCATCCTCAGACTCAGGCTCGGAAGGCTCAATGTCCAGTAGGCCCGCAGCTGTGTGACGAAGGACTGGCCAGTGTGTGGGGTGACGACATGGAGGCGGGGAAGCTTGGGTGCAAAAAGATCTTCCTTAAGATGAGTGCCACGGCATAGGTTGATGTTCTTTTCCATTCTTCGGACGAGTTCTGACGTGTTGAGTCATGAGCTGGAACCTTGGACCAAAACCATAATGGATGTGCTCCGGCGTGTTCGGCCTCGAAAAGCCATTTTAGACCTCATCCAGATTTGTCGTAGACGCTATAAACTGATGAGCGCGGAGGAGGCGGTTGGTTTTTCTCCGCTTCCGTCATGTGATTTAGGCTCTTCTTACTCCGTGGCACGTCTCACTCCGTTGACCGCCTGTCCTTCACTTCATCAGTCTTCATCTCCAGGCTTCATGCTCACTTTTGATCGACTTAAGCCTCCATAGACGACTCCAGGCGGAGGCCAAGGGGAAGGACTCCGGCAACGTGCAACTCTTGCTGATCGGAATCTGTGCCGAGCTTAGCACATCAGCGTCGCATGATCTGAAATCCCGTCTGTCGGGTACTCGTCGAACCCTCCACAGACTCTGCATTGCAACTCAAAGCGCCACTCTTGCTTGGTCTGCCTTGCAGCACGCTTCAGGCTTGGCACTGGCGGGCCAGGTGGTCCAAGCAGCACAGGCTGTAGCAGAAGAGTGGCTTCTGCGGGACTTCAATGGAAAGCGTGCTTTTGGATTCCTTTGGATGCTTCATGCTTCCGAGTGCGGGCATCGGAGAGGACGTCGATCTACCGGGTCTACAAGTTGTAGGCTTCGAAGGCGTCTGGGGCGCGCTTGCAATGCATCTTGGCACCGGGCAGATCCCGTCCAAGCAGCATTCAAGATGATGCAACACTCTTTCTGAAGCATGGCGTTGGCTGGCTTTTTCGAGGCTTGTGTTTGTGTTCCCGACCCTGTACATGCTTCCTGGGTCTTCGCCTGAGTTTCTAGAGTTTTCTCAATTCGCTTGCAGCATGCCCGAGCAGTGCTGCAGGCAAGACCACGGACATGCAGAAGATGAGGTCAACGCATACGAGCTGCTGAGGATGTGCTGATTGGGGTTTCGCTGTTGACAGTGGCACCACCGTCCCCTCATGTCCCCTCCGAGCTCTGCGGTGTCTGAAACGTTTAGCCGAGGAGCAACTCTATGCTGACTGCCTTGATGGGCTTGTACATTTTCTCTTGCGTGGGGGGCTCAGCACAATGTCTGGCGGTAGAGCCACTCTCTGCGGCCACCTGTTTCATCTGATTCACGTGGGGCTCACGGTGCCTTTAATGTGGCCTCTGGAGGCCACGTACAACATCTCTGGAATCGCCGTCACTGGAGCACTCTCTGCGGTGCACAGAGTGATGATCGAGGCGAAGAGCTCCGAGAAGGGTTTAGGGAGCCGATACCTGTCTTGGCGTCTCAGGCACTCCGAACATTGATCGTTTGGGCCTTCGGGCTGTGACGCTCCTGCAGTTGGTTTGTAACGGAAGCAGGCTAAACAGACGCACCATATTCCCTTGATCGGTAAGCTTCAAGGAGCATCCACTACCTTGTGGATCCACAGTCACCACTTGGCGAGGTCTGGACGTCTGGCGCTGAGACGGAAATGAGCGTGTCGACTCTCAAAAGGTGACCAAAACACTTTTCCTGTTTGGCCTGGGCCAAGGCCCTACAGCTGGCTGGAGGCCTCGGCCTCGGATCCCTTCTCGGAGTGGAGGATTGGCGCGACCTTGACCTTTGAGGTGGCTGGCTTCCTTCTTTTGGTGATCGGCCAAGTGATCTACGGAGCGATGGTGAAGGCACAGATCTCTCAACGGCCCAGTCGAAGCAAACGCCCAGTCGCTGGTTTGAGCGTGCCCGTGTCAGATACCGCGGCTCTACTACCCACCGTCGGAGGCCGGCGATGTAGGGGCAAGCAGCGAAGGGTATGCGTCACAAGTTATCATCTGTAGTTTGATCCTGTTGAAGGAGATCTCCCACGATGTCGTAGCATCACCTGGTTCCTTGAGAAATCTGACGGCTCTGCCGCCCGAGCCTCTGTCCATCTCTGTCCTGTCTGCAACGGGGAGCTTCCTGCTGGCTGAGGGATGCCCGGCTTGTGAGCCCGGGCTCTCATGATGGCAGAGTGGCTGGTAGCCCTGTTGCGCTAAGCCCCTGAAACTGAGCTTGGAAACCCCGGCCCCGGGGGGCAAGTGCGAATCGTTTAAGCAGAGGCCAAAGGCCGCGATCTCGAACATCCCTTTCAGAATCTAGACATTACGAAAAAAACACACTGCGGGGGCCGTTCGGGATTGGTGCGCAGCCCACCCATATGCCAAAACGGAAAAGTCCACGCTCCAGGCTCCCAGCAGCTGGCTCTAATTTAGCTGCACGCATACTTCACACTTGCACTCGCTGTGGCTCAAGCTGCCAGCCATAGTTTTCCGGCCGACAGACTGCAAGCGATGTCGAACGCATTGGCGCAACGAGCCTACGCAGAAGGCTTCCGTATTCAGGTTGGCCTCTCCACGACTAACCGCTGCAGTTGCAAGAGCTGCCGCCGTGGCATCCAGCGAGGTGAGCTTCGTGTCGGCCAGCTCGTGGGGTCGCCCGCAGAGGGCATAGGCCCAAAGTGGTGCCACGTAGGATGCTTTCTGGATTTCATCAAAAGCCGCTACGCTTCGTCTGGGGGCTGGTTCAAGAAACATGTCCCGGAACCAGAGCAGATCCCAGGCTTTGGAAGCTTGACGGCAGATGACAGAGCGATCATCTCCGACCTGGTTCTTGAGGGGAAGAATCCGCGAGTCTTTGTGGTGACGATCGCAGTTGAAGGCACCAAGTTGGTTTGCACGAACATGGCCGGAAACCGCGTATGTCCAGATTTGAACGTCGAGGAAGCCAGCAATGCCCGACGAAGAATTGCTGAGCACATGGTTCGCCGTCAACAAGACCTTCAACTGGTCAACGCAGATGGCAGCTTGTTTGAGGGCATCTGCCGTACCAGCGCAAAAAAGCGGAAGATGTGTGCAGCCGCTGCTCTGGCCGGCGCGTGACGTGCCTGGGGCAGGGTAGCACTCCTGAAAACAGGGGGACAGTTTCAGTCGAGTGCTTGTGGTGAGTCATCGCACACCTCGCGCTGACGTTACAAAGTGATTTGTGTGGCATCTTTCTGCATCTATGACTGTTTTCTCAGACTTTGATTTGGTGCCCATCTCAAACTTTCGGTCTTAAGATCCAACAACTTCGACCAACAACTCGCCCAGGCGAGGCGATGGGGCTAATTTAGATGAGTCCTTTTCACTGCTTCTGCTGGCCGGGTTGATGTCAGCGATGACGATGGGGATGACGATGACGACGCTGCTGGCTGTGATGATGCTGATGATGACGATGATGATGAAGATGAAGACGATGCTGAGGCTGATGCCATTGCTCCTGCCTGCCGCTGATGCTGATGCCGATGCAGACGTCGACGAGTGTCGCGCTATGTCGCACTCATGTGCTCAGGAGATTCTGCATAGTCGTTCTGCCTTAAGGATGCGAGCCTCGATGCTCAAGGGCGTACGTCGTATATTCTAACCGTTTCGATGTCATTCTATGTCTGTACACATCTCCACTGTACCCTGTGTGCCAGTGGCTTTCATTCTACCACCGCTAAGCCCTAAACCCCTAAACCGCAAATCCCTGGACCCTGGAACCTACACTACCAAGCCACAGCTAGAACCTGAATCTTCAAAGTCGTCTTAAAACCACAAAGCTTTAAGTCAGAGGGAACTTTGGGTCTTAGGAGAAACTGTGTACGGTTTTAAGTTTTGAGGGATCCCCGCATCTTCACAGCGCAGGCTTATCTATGTCATGTAGGAGGAACAGGCTATTGAAACACAAAGCAGGAAGAGTGTTCAGGGCTTGCCTTAGGCTTCATCCTTCAGGGTTCCGAATTTACGGTTCAGGGTTCTTGATTCCCATAGTTTGTAGGCTCAGGTCATGCTCTTCGTGATGCCCAAAGAAGCATGTTCTCGCCTTGCTTTGCAGCCGGATTTTCTGCTTAGCGTGCAAGTGGACGGCAGCTGCACTCTTGCCTTTGAACATGGACTGCTCACAGCTTGTTCGGACCCGACACCGCGCTCGCCCGCAGACGCAACATCCCCACAAAATACCAAGCTGCATCCCAGCACTTCCGTGCCCAGTAAACTCCCCCCTGAGCCTCTACACCCACGTGCCCTGAACCTTGCAAGCCCCGGGATGACGGCCTGGCATTTGCAGCTGTCAGAAGCAGAGCTGTCCAAGGCCTCAAGCGTTCAGCTCGGTACATGCATGATATTGCATGATATGTATCCAGACATCTTTTCGCCTGCCTATCCGTTTTCCTATTTGACTTTGTCTGCTTACATATCTAGCAGGGTTTGTGATAGTGAGAGGGGCGTCGTCATGGCCGCAGCAGTAGCAGTTCGACTGTACAGCCCCCAGCCGATTCACGGATTCATGCAACAAGCAACGCTGTTGTCACTAATTTCGGGGCCGGGGGCCATCATGGACGCTTTATCAGGACGGGGCGCTGCGTGCACTGCAGTTCCTGGAGATGCTCGGAAACTTGAGCTGTGGTTTGAGGACTGCTGGACTACACCGATGTCCTGATTGACGTGGCGCCATGGCCACAACTTGAGAGATTCTACATCCCCCCAAGTACGCGATGCATGCCTGCAGGTGGGCGTGCACGTGCCGCTTCTCTGGTACGGGCATCAGGCTTTCTTGCTCAAGAGTTTTCTGGGCTGTGGCCACTCCAGTACATCATGTCCATGTGCTGCAGGCGCTCCGCACCGCGCAGCTGGTGAAGGATCTGGCTCACACGTGGAAGGCGTTCCATGGGGATACATAGGCCTTAGCGTCACAAAAAAATACATAGGCATCAACAAAAACTTAAATAGGCATGTAAAAAAACAGACGGTTTAAAACAAGCGAGAGCGAGAGAGAGAGAGAGAGACAAAAGCGGGGGAAAGAGAGAGATGATCTTGCATGTGTGGAACTGAGAGTCAAAGATTACAGTTGCAGTTATTGTATACTATATGGCTTTAGCCGAAACTGTATTCATGACTCGTTCTTCACCCCTCACACCCGTTAAAACAACGGGGGGGCCATTGGCCCGAGGGCGTTGACCCGCCCTCATGCCCGGGAGAGAGAGAGAGAGAGAGAGAGAGAGACAAAAGCAAGCACGATAACTAGCTGTGGAGCAGCTAGCACCGCACCTTGTCCAACTAGCACTGTTGCAAAGGGGGACTCAGTCAGCTTATGTGGTTTTGGAAGTGGTTCTCATCGTTGCTCTGCTTTCTAGCTGTAAGTTCGGTTACTCGCAATGGGTCGTTGTGCATCATGCTGACGAAGAGAGTCTCGCCAAAAGCTGTCGATGACCGGACGAGGGGACTTGCAAGAACTTGTATAATTGTTCCGGCTAACTGTGCAACCCCTTTGGACGGTCTATCGAAGCTTCGTAGAGTGTCGTGAAATAGCTGCGAACCCTGAACCTTTTGTAGGCCATTCCACTGCAATACTTCTTCAGCTGAAGCAGCTATCGTCTTACACTCCCTCAATGCCCCATGACATGGGGGGGGGGGCATGTGCCGGGGGGTTTTGAAGCCCCTTACGCCCTGCAGAAGAAGAGAGAGCGAGAGAGAGAGAGAGAGAGAGAGAGAGAGAGCGAGAGAGAGAGAGAGAGAGAGAGAAAAGTGGGGCGGAAACACCTGCCCAGAGGCCCTGACAGTGTGGTTTGACGTAGCATAGAAGTTGTGTCGTAGCACGTAGTTTGCAAGCCGGGGCCTCAGCAGTCACATGTACACTAGCCTTGGAAAGTCGTGTGATACCGGGGGGAAGCCAGACTCGCTGTGACAGCCCGTACTGTGATTTGCACCGGGTTTCTTGTTGCAGCTTGTTGCTTTCCTCGGGGCGGCAGCAGAGTTTACGTACTGTCAAGTATGTGTAGGAGACCATGACACATGTCTTGCAGGGAGGCCGGTACCACAGAAAGACAACAGTAGTCTACAAGAGTGAGCCAACACTGCCGAGCCCTGCACGGTGGAGCTGTTTGTGACCTACTGTTGAACCACTACACAGTTGCTTTTGTTGTGAGAGAGAGAGAGAGAGAGAGAGAGAGAGAGAGAGAGAGACAGAGATAGCCTGGGGAGAGAATAGATCGATGTTGCGAGGTAGAACACCACAAAACCCAAAACCCTAGAATTGCACGAGGCGAATTTTCCTAGAAATCGCTGCGGTTCCCATGATTTAGCTTTTTTAGATGCTTATTGTAGTTTTTTTGTTCCTTTGGTTTCATTTTTCGTGGCCTATTTAAGTTATGTTGATGCCTCACCCATTACCATGCCTTTCCCAGCTTTCCCTGCTTGGAATCATATGGCACGCAACGCGCACTGCAGCAGTTGGACCACTCCGCAGACTCGGCAGGCCCTTGCCGAGCTGGAGCAAGAAGGACCACCACCACTGAGAGAGGCAGGGAAATCACTTTCCCAAAAAGCACTTTCGCACTCCTTGAATACATGGGCGCAGCACTCCAGCTGATATGATACTTCTGCAAAGAGTGACAGTCCATGAGCAACACAGGGATGGTGCCGAAGGATCCCCCACTTATCGGTAGGATGAGACGGCACTTTCAAGTCTTTATCGACCCTTGGTGCTATGCGTGCGCATGTGCATGCTGATTTGCCCAACAGTTGCCACAGGCCTATGTCCTCGGCCGCCTCATCGACTCTGGAGGCTATGGCACGGTGCGGGAGGCCATGCACCGAGAGTCCGGCCAGCTGCACGCCGTCAAGAAGTGCGCGAGGAAGGAACAGCACCCCGAGATGGAGGTGGAAATTCTGCAGCGGCTCAGCCACCCGAACGTGTTGCGGCTCCACTGCACCTTCGAGGACACTTCGCACCTCTACATCGTGACGGAGCTGTGCTCAGGTGGCAACCTTTCCGATGTGATGAAGAAGGAGCCGGCAAACGAGCAGGCGTCCTGCCAGATCTTCCGCCAGATTATGAGCGGCGTGGATTACTTGCACCGGAACAAGGTGGTGCACCTCGACATCAAACCGGAAAACATCCTGGCGCTGGCTCCGGGACAGATGAAGCATGCCAATGTGCGGATCATCGATTTCGGAACCGCCAAGCGTTACGACCTGCACGAGCTACGAACTACGACCGTCGTAACCTGCACTCCGCTTTTTGTCGCCCCAGAGGTGCTTACTGCTGGGCAGCCATACACGGAGAAGTGCGATATTTGGTCCGGAGGCGTCGTACTCTTCGAAATGCTGAGCAGAGCGCTTCCTATTACCGCCCCTGAGCTGACGCAGTTATTCAGGAAGGTCAGGAGAGCAGAGTGGCAATTCGCGCCGGCAGAGTCGTGGAATGGCGTCACGGCGGCGGCAAAGGAGCTGGTGGCCAGCATGTTGACCAAGGATGTTTGCGCTAGGCCATCGGCTGCCGCCGTACTTGCCAGCGCGTGGCTGCTCCCACATGCAAAACGTGGAACGTGTTGTCGACCTATGCAAGACAATTTGCCCGACAATGACTACTCATCAGATAGTAGTTCTGCTTCAAGGATGCCCCGTGGCATATGTCGTATTATTATTCTGACCGTTAGTATGTCTGTACACGTCTCCACTGCACCCTGTGTGCCTGCCAGTGGCTTTCAGTCTACCATCGCTAATCCCCATACCTTAAACCCTAAACCGCAAATCCCTGGACCCTGGAACCTACACTACCAAGCCACAGCTAGAACCTGAATCTTCAAAATCGTCTTAAAACCACAAAGCTTTAAGTCAGAGGGAACTTTGGGTCTTAGGAGAAACTGTGTACGGTTTTAAGTTTTGAGGGATCCCCGCATCTTCACAGCGCAGGCTTATCTATGTCATGTAGGAGGAACAGGCTATTGAAACACAAGGCAGGAAGAGTGTTCAGGGTTTGCCTTAGGCTTCATCCTCCAGGGTTCCGGGTTTAGGGTTCTGAATTTACGGTTCAGGGTTCTTGATTCCCATAGTTTGTAGGCTCAGGTCATGCTCTTCGTGATGCCCAAAGAAGCATGTTCTCGCCTTGCTTTGCAGCCGGATTTTCTGCTTAACATGCAAGTGGACGGCAGCTGCAGTCTTGCCTTTGAACATGGACTGCTCACAGCTTGTTCGGACCCGACACCGCGCTCGCCCGCAGACGCAACATCCCCACAAAATACCAAGCTGCATCCCAGCACTTCCGTGCCCCGTAAACTCCCCCCTGAGCCTCTACACTTGCACCATCAATCCACAAGTGCAGCCCCTACATCTTCCACCCAAGTGCCCTAAACCTTGCAAGCCCCGGGATGACGGCCTGGCTTTTGCAGCTGTCAGAAGCAGAGCTGTCCAAGGCCTCAAGCTTTCAGCTCGGTACATGCATGATATTGCATGATATGTATCCAGACATCTCTTCGCCTGCCTATCCGTGTTTCTATTTAACTTTGTCTGCTTATGTATCTAGCGGGGGTTATGGTCCTGAAAAGGTCGTCGTCGTAGCCGCAGCAGTAGCTTTGCAGCTGTTACCGCTGCTGCTGTTGCTGCTACTGCTGTTATTGCTGCCTGTTAGCATTATGTTTGTGCTGCTATTTCGCGCAGTGCCCGTGGTTGAGATTTGGTATTTGTATTGCTTGTGTTGCAACTGCGGCGGAGCGTTACTGTGACTTCAATACTTCTGCCAGTAACCATGTCAGCACTGGATTAGAATCACGTACTACCAGCTTGCTAGCCTCTGTGTTCTTCACACTTCAAAAGTTTGGGCACTATTGGGAGGTCCTGCGATGCCTGGAAGCGGAATCTCTCCTCGAGGCCTGATGTCACACTAGGGACATATATATATATGTACACAAGTGATAGTCGATGAATCGTAGCTAGAAACACGAACATTCGACAAGCCACGAAAGCAGCAGCAGCAGGGAGAGGTGGTCGAAGAGTAAATTCGTCGCTGCTGTTGTCCTCGTTCTATACTCGTACATAGTGTTAGTCTTGGTGCTACCTGGTATGGTCATGATTGACTCATGACTAAGATGATGCCGTAAGATGAGCAGTCTAGAAACCAGCGCTAGCACCTGGAGGCTGCTGACGATGTTGATGGCTTGGTGACGAGAATGCAAGTGATGGCGATGGTGATGTTGATAACTGGGATCGTGCTTTGCCCGCCTAAAAGTACATGATCATCTTCGGGGTCGTCGTTCTCGTCGCATTGTGGCGGTAGTTCCTAAGTCGAGGTGGTTCTCCTTGTTCGTCTCGTGGGTTGCAGTTCTTTCTGTTGCTTGTGCTGCTGCCACCAGAGGTTCTGTGGTATGGTTTTTGTCACAGGCCACATCGCTGTGCCGCGATGTATCGGCAGCCGCCGAGAGCTCAGTCAGCACTTCTGCAACTACATGACGACCCAAGTGCAACAGCGAAGCGTAAATCGTGGATTTGCAAGTACGGGCTGCCCAGCTCTTTGAGCTCAGGTTGAGCTGACCTAAGACAAGAGATCTCACAAGCCACGGCTTGCAAAGGAGAAAGCACGAGGAAGGCGAACCCAAGCAAAACACAATACAGTAGCATATTTGGATGACAGTGATGGTAATCAGAGGAGCTTCAATGTCACGTTCCAACAAGAGGCAGTAAGGAACTTAGACGTACCCCTTTCGTGCGAACGGCACGAAGTACAGGCTTCTGGTGCCATGTATCGGGAGGTTTGAGGCTGGGAGTTGTCCTGGTCGGGTGCGAGATCGAAGGGGGCTGGTCGAGTTGTGGTAGTGCGTTTGGCAGCACCCTCCCCACAGCCTCAGCCACCTAGCGAGCTTTTCCGTGTTTGCAAGCAAAGTAGGGCCAGAGGATCATCTTCCAAGGCTTGTTCACACTGCTACGGATGTCTTTGAAGTCTGTCTAAGCTGAAAACCATCTTACCGAGAAGACTTTCCCAGCTGTAGTGGCATGCTTCACCCGCTTAATTTCCGCAAGGAGACCGGCCAGGAGAGACATGTATCGACGGTTGATGTATATTAGAACAGGGATGTCAGTCAGACTGACTTGTGAGCCGCAGGTGAAGCCAGCAGAACACTGGCTGTGGCATCAGCTGTTCGAGAAGGCGGCTGGTGAGAGTGCACCCCGTTGGCGTACTCTCTCACTTTGAAAATGATCGAAAATGATGCCGGGGACAAGTAAGTTCAGAGAACAGTTGGAGGGACGAGAGCTAGGACATACGAGCATACTATGGTTCAACTGCATAAGCGTGGACACCAAAAAGCATATCCTTAACATGCCGGCAGTTGAGCTGTAAGCATAAGCTCTCTCAGAGGAGAGGCAGAGCGATGGCTGGGCGGGGGTCGACTCCGACGTCCAGGCACCGCGTTGTCCAGGGAATATAGTCCGAAGCGAAAGCCGTTCTGGAGGAGCCAGAGAGCGGGGCGCTCCGCAAGGCTGAGGAACTACTCAGCCATGCCCTTCCTTGCAAGCACCCGCGGGCATGTCCAAGTGCGACTGTAACAAGGCACTGGCCCTGGCGCTGAACTCCCAGCGAAGCTCTTGTGCGGTCCCCATCGCAAGTGTGATCATATGGTTTGTCTGGTTCAGTTGGAGCCTTTGCCAGGTTCCGCTTGCGCAGGTACCTGGCACAGCTCTGCTCTCAACGTCCATCAGAGGAGGCTAGCATTGACACTATCGCTAGTGATCGACCTGCCGAGGAGGAGAATGCCAAGCCTTCCGGATGCGTGCCAGACCTAAACATGAAGATCCAGACCCGAGTCCAAACCGCCGCACGTTCAAACGAAGAGAAGCATTCCATTGAGCAGTTCAATATTCTGAAGCTCCGAGGCTTCGATGTGCAGCAGACCACGGGCATCAGGCGGATTCGTCACCGCATCATTGGGAAGTTTCAGCACAGCTTCTACCAGACGTTTTCAAGAGTGTTCTTTTGACTGTCCCGAGAGAAATGACGGTCAGACTTGGCTAGCTGCCAGTCATTGTGGAGTAGCAGTGCCGGACTTTGACTGAGTTCCACTTGTGGTCCCCTGATCAGGTAGTTCTGGAGCTTCTGCTGCATCTTCGTGCCTTAACGAGAACCATCGGTCGAGTAAGCAATCGCTGCAGATCAGATCCTTTGATGAAACATGGAGTCATGGAGTTTACACAGCCTTCCTGCCCGCATATAGCAAACGACTGTGATCAATGAGGAACAGTAACCGCCCAGGCGCCAATCCAAACGTTCCCGCCGACAGTGGCGCCCACGGCGTCGGTTTTACACAGGTCCAGCGTCGGCCCTTCTTGCGTTCTTAACCTGGCCCTTGTCGTTGGGAGGTGGGAGCCTACCCGTTGCATCTGGCCGCCAAACGTGGCCGCCTCGAGGTGATGGAGGCGTTTCCCCTTGTGCCGGTCTGTCACGGCCGACGTTCCTCTGCTCCTCCCGTTTTGCAGGTCTTGCTGAAAGCCGGTAGCGGCCCGAGACCTTGAGTCGTGAACGTTTTGAAAACCGGCGGCCGAGGAGCCTGCATAGATGCGGCCGACCAAAACGGGCGGACCGGGTGCCTTAACTGGTGCAGACAACATGGGACTTCGTGAGTGAAGCATGCGATTGTCACGCAGGCTCATGGTGGCAGCGGCGAGTGGACAGTGTTCTGCCCAGTGACATGCGGCAAGACCTTCACGCAGAGAGAGATCTTCGCGAAGGCATTCTGCCATCCTCTGGCTGCTTTGCCATCGAGCGGTTCCTCGCCTTAAAGCCCATAAAGTGCACGTTACTCGCTGCTTCTTAGCGACGTTCTAAAGGCAGCGGATAGCAGCACTCACTACGGCTACACGGCCCGGGCCCAAGGCCGCCCAAGGCGCCTGTAAGCTCCGGCCTTCTGGCCATGGCCAGGCCTTGCACTACGCGGCCCTCGTTCCGAGACCGGAGGCCGCCGCTCCGCAAACGCGAAGAGTTGTGAGCCGTGAGCCTTCAGAGGGCTCATCCGGGCTCATCCAAGCTAGGTAGTCCACGCCCTGTTGGAGGGCCGTGCTGATTTCTCAGGAAGCTTTTTCTGTCTATTCCACTGCGGTTTCGGCTTGATTTTGGGGAGACCGAGGCGAGCTCAAATGTGGTGGACCGTGAAGGTCGCAGTGCGCTCTTTCTGCAGTATCAGTTTCACGTAGATGACCGAACGTGCCATGTTGCCGCCAGCGACGAGTGATGTTCGAGTGCACTGCTCGAAACCTAAGCTGTCCCAAGGCTTTGCACGCAGCTCTCTCGACATTGCCCAGAGCACGCACATCGCTCAGAAACCGCTGCTTACACTGTGGGCTACGAGATGCCTCCCAGGTACGGAGGGTGCCGCCGTGTCCACAAGCTGCGATCCGTCAGGCCATTCGATCGCTTGGCACATTCTCCCATGTCGGCTCCAAACAAGATGAAAGATCAGTCACGAAAGCTCTGTGGAGCTGGCGGAAGTTGTCGGTTACCAATTCACTTCAGTAGAGAACCAGGTCA